CCTTATATATGCACTGTACCAGTGTAGTGACGATATTGTTGCTTAGCTACGGGCACTCGTTGTTTCGTTAATTTTCTCACGCGGGTGTATGTACATATTTTCCCAAGTAAGCCCGGGCGCGCATGATCCGGCAAATTGCAAATCGCAAAGCTAATTATGCACATGCGAGTGAGAATCCGTGAACCTGTACTTCTAACGCCAACTTTGTCGCTTGATTGATTGTTACTTCATTAATTGTGCCAATTTTGTCGCTATAGCGAAATATTGTAGAACTACTATAACCAGATTGCAGCATGGGTGTATCCTACATGTCGTATACTTGGGTTTGGTAGCTGCTGTTCAGGGCTCGCGTTAAAGTACAGTTCTCAATCAAATCGACCCTAACCCGAAACATCTGTCTTATGTACTTAAATCTTACGAGGTACTTAAGTATCCATGCCTAGCAGCTTTGGTAACAAAATTCAGCTACCCGGGAACTTTGGTAAATGACTGCACGGGGTCGAGGGTGTCTTTTCAGAAACTTATTTCTATCTTAATTCTAGAGCGTACACGTGTGTCTTTTCGAGTCTACTGGCTCCCAGTCGACCATCTATCGTAGTTATTTAGAGTCTATTTAATGGAGAAGACCCCTAGTTTACTATGGTCAGGCCCGTCAGGGATACCAAAATGTTTGTAATTATATAGATTATGACGGCTGGAAAGAAGTCGCACAATCCCTATTCCCGCTCTCAAAATATTTGAATGCAGTCCAACGATGAGTCTCTTTGTTCACAAAAAGGCGCCACAGACAGCAGCAATCAACAAGGATGAAGGTAGACCCGGAGGCCAAAGATTGTACAAGTGACTTGCTTACCCAGGCCCAGGGCAGAATAGCTGTATACATGTACATGATGTACTGATCGAAGATGTATATAGGGCGGCCCGTGACGAACATACGTACATGTACATGTATATGTATCTACATACTAATACATGTAGATCGAAGTTATTTTTGAAAAAGAAAACTTAAGTAGGCTGCTCGTAGCTTTCTGGCGTCACTTTAGAGTGCATGATATATACATATTCCTATCTTTGAGATAGAATGAGCTGATAACCGGCCGGATGGTAGCCCACAGTGGCACCCCGGCGGAGTCATAGAATATCACTCACATAAGAAACCTTTATGGAATGTTATTGCCGTTCACGTGATTGATTGATTGATGATCAATGTACATGCAACCGCGCTAATATCTTGCGCCTTAAAGAAAGTAGAGGAATTTGAAGATGGGTCTAAGACTTGATTTAACTCTCAATCTGTCCAGCTAGACATCTTGAATGAAAAGTTGGTAAACAGTTGGTTGCCATGCCTGGCCTGGCCTCAGCGCTCACCCCCCACCTTCGGCACCCTCGAGCTTTAAAAATTCCTCAAAGCTTTCTGACACCCGATCTAGCTCTCTCTTTGTCTCCCTAATCCACCACTTAAACCTCCGGACCTCTCTGGAAAGCTTCTGGAACTTCTCGATGTTACGCTTCGTGGTTGGGTTGGCCCCGGCACGAAATAATTCCTTAATCTGGGAGGCGTTCTGGTCGCGGCTTGCTCGTAGGTCATCAAGGTGAATAAGAAGTGTTTTGAGATGGTTTTGAAGTGATTCGAGAGTGTTAAGGTTAGTGGGGGTGATAGAGGTAGAAGGGGAGGCGGGGAGAGTGGGAGAAGGGGACGTCGGAGCGGTTGGAGTAGTTGGGGAGGCGGGGAGAGTGGGAGAAGGGGACGTCGGCGCAGTTGGAGTAGTTGGGGAGGTAGTAGAAGTAGCCATGTTTGGCTGTTTGGAGGGACGACTGGGTGTTTTCTGGTGAGGTGGGCATGGGAAGAAAAAGAAAGGCAGGTGTTATAATTAGCTTAGTGGAGTGATCATGTGTTAGTGGTGGTTATGGGCTTAGGCCAAGGTGTCCCATACCAACATACATATACTTATAGGTTGGGGATTTGAGATGTATTGAAGGGGCTAGAGACTACATGTAATTACTGACTATCATGTCGAATCTGAGAAAATACTCGAGTCACCATTTTCTACCAGTCGCTCAGATTTCATTGCTCCAAATGGTGGTGAGGTCACTACTCGTGAGCTGTACAGAACCGACTAGAAACAAAATAATTACATTAAATGGCGCTCTCCCGTACTTGGATTCCATGTAGTGGACCTTATTGTAGCGCCGGCGAGCGTCTTCCAAAGGGATTTAAGCTCAAATGGATACAGAGGAGTCTACCTCGGGGTATAAACTACATGTAATGTAACGTGAGTACTCTTTCTCTAAGACCTGCAGCTTGTCATGTAGGGGTATAATATAGAATGTGTGTTCATGGTCAAGTGGGGGCTTGATTAAGACGTACTAAGGGCCCCGTTTGAGGAACGTACGCTAGTGTGGCAAAGACCGCAATCCTCCGGCCCCCGATTGTATTTTGAGTGATTGAAATTAAAGGTTTAATTTGTCAAATTGTGATCCGGTGAACCAAAAAGCGGCCATGACCTTTCTACTATCAAAACCACGGCCAGTACAGCGGTGGGTAATAAGTCATCAGACGGAACGCCACCAAAATACGCGTTTGCAGGCAAAATTGTGGCTAGGCCGTCCGATGACTTATTACCCACCGCTGTACAGCAATGTCAGCAGTAACCACCACCACTACGGGAGTCATCACGTGCGTGGCGTCGAGGTCTGCGTCTAATGGTCGTACATGGTGACAGAAGCTTAATTGCATCATACAGAAATATCCCTAATCTTTTCTAAAAATTCGATTATTATTTGTATTCTATTTGTTTATTAATATATGTATATGTACAGTATGTAACTAAATGTTTTTATTGGTGTTGGTGAACATGTGTGTTGATGGCCATGAAAATGGGTGGAAATGAGTATAGCCGGGTTTAGATTCTATGGTACTGGATATTGGGAATGGGTCTAGATGTGTGTGGAAAGAAGATGGAGATTTGGTTGCAATTCTACTTTTTCTAGATCGATTGCAAGAATTGTGGTTCCTAGGATCCTGGACTGTTCAAAACATTGAACTAAAGTCAGAACCTTCACAAACCGAATTAAGATCTGAGCTGGGATCATGATTTGACCTGTTGAAATCATGATTTGGGCGGCTTCCAAACGGGCCCTAAACGATTTACTTAAACACTTTCGACAGCTGATTTTATGCGGTGCAGAGGATGTTGAACGGATGTCTGGCCTGCGCAGCGCAAACTACATGTATTATACTTATACTTGCACTATATTACCTAGCTCATACTGCCCGGATATATATGTAACAGTACAACGTCGTTATATATAAAATGGCGCGTACTTCCAGAAATGAATACCCCAATTATATTACAGGTATCCCTAACACTAAATAGCGCAATCTATACTCTTGAGGGGTTTATATCACAATGAATATATAATCCTTGGTATTAGCTTTTGCGATTGGAAGTAAAGTTTTGTATTATCCCACTAATACACACGTATATATATCAATCAGTAACTGTGATTCATCGGCATGTGGGTTATGATCAATTAACGAATTACTTATGGGGAGATTGCATTTATAAATTGAAAGCTTTCTATTTCCTATTATATATTTAGCTTTTTAGTTTATCGATTTTTTCTGTCTATTTTAGTGGTGGACTTATTAAGGCTTGCAATTGGGGTTGGCTGCTTTTGTATGTAAAAAGCCACCAGGACTGAGCTTAGTGGAATATGTAGTTTTCTATCTATTTATATCCTAGTGGATGAGCTTGAGATCTCTAGCCACTGTATGGCTAGATATCAGCGTTGTCATTGGTTTGGAAGGGGCTAAAATTGTACTACTCGAAATACTGACATGTCATGCGGCCTTTAAGACTGGGAGCACGTACTATACCGCGGCTGGCAAGAGCTTTCTACTTATAATACCTGCACAGCGTCTCTATCTTATAAAACAGCTTATTGCCTACTTTACATAGCAATAATGGCAGATGCTACCCCAACACAACACAGAAAGCGCAAACACGAAGAGCGAGACTCACCAGGACCTGATGAGAATGTGTCTAAGCTAATAGGGCGGACTGATTTAACTGACAAGGGCAAAGAAAATCGTCCGGTACCTCCGACTCAAACATTTCTTCTGCCATACCAGGGTCGAAATCAACATGCTTTCGGATCAGAAATATTCCACTAGAATGAAGTCAAGAAGACTTACTTCGCGTTATTAAAAACTTCGACTCTGACTTCGAGGAAGAAGCTCGCAACCTCTCGCTCTTCCCAGATTGCAGCGGCCGTACACAGACAGCCCTACTTCGACTAGACCTACTCACATGCTCTGATTATTTTCGGGGCGTCGACCCCAGGAAGGTGAAAAATCAACCGATTAGAGACACAGCTGTTGTTTTAGTCATTGACAGGCAATTTCTTGGCTTGACGCCTTTGAACGCTCCCGGGGCCGACGTTGTTGCAGAGTGAGGATTTTGCCATATGTTATTATCAATGAACAATGAAGCTAAGGTTTACATAGCGTGATTGCAGTAACCGGTCTCGCCGGTCATGCGTTTGGATCCTGGAAAGATCGCGAGACTGGATGCATGTGGCTCCAGGACCTTTTGCCGAAGGATGTTGAGAAAGTTCGGGTCATGACATATGGTTACGACTCAAATATTGATGGAGAAAAGATGACTCATCAATTTATTGACTACAAGAGAAAATTAGTACACACACTGATTCACGCGAGACGTTCTTGCGAGGTGTGTACATGTCCCCATCCTTGGAAAAGGTGGAAATTGCGTAAGACAGGACTCATGGTACAAAAATATAGACAAGACTAATGATATTCCTTGGGCACAGTATGGGGGGTATACTGATAATTCAGGTAGGTATTTCATCTTCAATTTGATTTATGTAATGAGCCCGTCCTATGTCAAATTTACATTTTCCACCAGGTATTACTACAGGCAAAGAGCGACCTTGATCATGAGCATATGTTGCTATTTGAGTCTACACGTGCAGTGATGTTTTTTGCAACACCGCATCAAGGTCTTGATGTAGATACGCTCCTCGAGATTGTGCAGGACGAGTCAAGGGGACCGTTTTCTAAGACAGAATTTATCCAGCAGTTGAGGGAGAGCTCAAATTTCCTTAATACACAGCGGGAGAATATAACAAACATTCCCGGCCTTCCAGATCACCGAGGAGATAGTTTTGGCGGTGCTGCGGTCTTCCGGGAGGAAAAAGGCGGAAGCTTTAGAGTTTCTGCTATCAAACTTTCGGGACATCCAAATCACGGAGGCAGTGGTGGCAGCGGCGCTCACTTGTTATCCGAGGCTGAAGAATTTCGGATTGCGGTTTTCAAATTTCCCGGACTTCCAGATCACCGAGACTATGATAGTGATTGCGTCGATGTGTGAAGATAATCTGGAGGCTTTGAGGTTTCTGCTATCAAAATACCCAGACTTCCAAATCACCGAGGCTGCGGTGGTAGCAGCGGCGGGTAATACCCGGGGCATAGCGCCTTTGCAGTTTTTGCTATTAAAATACCCGGACTTCCAGATAACCGAGAATGTTGTGTTGAGGGCGGCGACGAGAACTTCCGAGAGCGTGGAGGCTTTGGACTTTCTGCAATCACAATACCCGGATCTCTAGATCAGCAAGGGGGTGTTGGTAGCGGCGGTGAGTAATGACATACAGACTTTGAAGTTTCTTCTGTAGAATACTTGGACCTCGAAATCACTGAGAATGTTGTGGTGGCAGCGGCGGCGCGTGAAGATGAGGGTAAAACTTTGGGGTTTCTGCTATTAGATTATCCTGACCTCCAATTGACTGAGGCGGCCGTATTAGCAGCTGCGAATAATGATGGCAATTGGTTCGATGATTTTCAAGCAATAAGTTTGGTTTTAAACAGAAAAACCCATGTTGAACTCACCCAGGCTTTCGTAGCAGTGGCCGAGAAGAACGAGTGGTGGTCCGAACATATTTTGGATTTGGTAAAGAAAACACATGGTGCTATCCCCACCCTCCGAGATTTCACCACCCCACGATGTCGAGACAATCGCATCACGGAAGATGATGGTTGTGAGTGCACCTAAATGTTCGAAATTACAGCAGTGCTTCAGCTGACTAGACCCACCAAATAGGACGATCGGCCGAGGAGCGTAATTACGGGTTGGGATGAGAGTCATGTTGGGGGATGAGTCGCAGCGATATATATATATACGTATACATATAGTTTCATAAGTACCTGTTTGAGCGAGGATGTGAGAAGTTGTTCGGACTCATTGGTCAACTCCCCGCGGTGGCGGAATTTTGCTGGGATTATCAGAGGGATGGAATTTAGGGAGATCTCGGGAGGTATTTGTGTTTGTTCCCTCCGAACGCTGGAAGTTTGGTATGGATGGAATTTCAAGAGGGTGGAATTATGATAGGTGCCTCCGTATATATTCTTATGATGTCAAGGGATGTGGTTGTTCCCTGCATGTGATCACCGCTGCCAAGCCCACCCTCTTTATGCGGCGGTATGATGACTCATGCGCGGGCGCTACCCTCGCCCGCCCGCCCACCCGCCCGCCCGGCCCCGCAGTTCCCGTCGCCGCCGCCGCCACCGCCGCGTGAACTACATCCCCTCGTGTGTTTTCACGACTGTGAGCTATGTAGTAGGTAACTTTTGGTACACCTAACCCTCACTCCGTGAACCTCTTTTGCTGTGAAGTCACCTTCTGTGACCCCTCCGATACGTACATGTATTCTGGTGTCTCCACAGTCTGTAGGTGGCTAGATTTTCTGAATATCACCGCGCCGCCGTGGGCCTAATATATCTCCCTTTTTGCTCTGACAAGCGAAGAGATAGTAGGAACAATGTGGGAGGGGGTGTGGAACGAATAGTACTAGGCCCAGCAAGCCGCGATGGGGCAGTTGAGGGAAACCCTACCTATATGTTACTTATTAAATGTAGGTACTGACTGCATGTACTGTGTCTGGTATGCGATAAGCGTGATTATCTATGTGGACAAGTGGTGTATCGTATATATTGTATTCACTTGGGTGACTTGTTACCGCCCATATATATCTCTATTTTGCAATCAAGCTGATATCAAGATTTAAGTCGAGCATTCACGAGGGGCCAAATTCTAGAGCAACCTTCTATGCGTACGTCGGCGCCCATCTATCCGCTCGATAAAATTAACCTGAGGGTCGATCCTGCACATGTATGCTTCATTCTGGCTCTCCAGTCATGCTGGTTATAGTCAGCTGCCAAAAAGCATTGATATTTTCTTTTTGTGGCTACCTGGCGCAATTTTGGAGAAGTCAGCTCGACTCTTTTCTTTAACAGTGTTAATGTGTCGAATTGGGAGCTTAAGTGATGGAGTTTAAAGTAGTTCATAAGCTGCATGTACTCTTGTCGCATGAACATGTATCTACATACCTGATCTAAAACCTAAAAGATTTGGCTTAAACTAGACTTTAACTGCACGATGTGGCCTTCATAAATTCTCGGCAACCCCCAAAAGTTAATTAATTTTTGCAGTTCCCTGTAGGGCAATTGAACACATACACGATATTCCGGAAAGTTGTTCCCCACCCAAGCTAGAATACCGGATGGTTCTGCATCAGCGCGCGCACGGGTACGGGGATCGGCGCCGGACTCCGCCTTTCTACCTCATTGCTAAGTACATGCGTTGACCGCCCGAGAACCCAAGCGCTTCAGGACCGCCAAGGAAGTGCGGTGCAAAACGTTGCTAGCGGCCCGATGGTCCGCAATGGTTTCTGGGACATGTTGATAAGATAAGCTTAAGATCAGGTGTGACAATCTGGCTACAGCAACGACGTGCCATCATGCCCTTACTACACTTACAGACCATGCCTTTACTCCAGGCGCTCCGCCGAGATAACTGTGTGAGTCCCATCGGAAAGCGACATAGCCCGTTGTTTTTCCGAAGAGAGAACGGGCCGAACGACGTTGGGACATACATGTATCTATGTACAGGTCGAGGCGAGTGAGATGGTGTGTCTCAGATTGTGGGCGCAAAGTCACCAAATGTGAGACATCTTGTAAATCACATATCATAACTACATGTATATATTTGTATGTACACTCAGTACCTCTCTCCTCTAAGACACCTGCGCTATGTTATCCACAAAAAAAAGGGGGGGGGGAATTAAGGCAATGGAGGCATTTCACAACAGAAACCAAATGTAAAGAAAAAGGATTATCAAAAGCCGCCAGATCTGCGTATACTCCATATCCAAACAAAGTCAACCCCGACTCATGCATCGAAATAAAACGAAATTTTTCTCTGTATACATCCCCCGTGAACGCCGCAGCATAAACGTACACCAGAACCCATTTCCATAATTACCCCCGCCGGTACTCCCCTGAGACGCGAAGCCCGGGGGTCGTCCGTTACCACCGCGCTACCGTGTCGGCATCTCCACCGCCCCGTAACCCGCGTCGAGCTCATGATACATCTCCACAGGCCCACACACCGTCGCCCCCATCGGGATTGCCGGTAGCTCGATATGAGGCCCTGCCTCCTGCGTCGCCGGCAACTCAATATGCGTCCCCACGGCCTCCAACTCTATATGTGCGCCCGTCCGCGGCCCCACCGCAAAGCTCGGTTGCCTCGACATTGGATCTATCACGCTGACTGGCGAAAGGCTCCTCGCACGAATATCTTCCGAGTCCAGATCCGACACCGGGGACCGATACCGCGCAATACCCGCTTCGGGGTGGTGGTTGTGTTCGAGGCCCCCGGGCGCCAAGTGGTTGGTGACCATGGCGTTGTATATTGGGGTAGGGTTACTCTCCAGCTCTGGGGTCGGAGCGCGGGGATACGGGCGGGGATTTGGGTCGAACTCGAGAGTGGATGTCTTTGAGCGGTTGAGGTGGACCCTGGGCACGTTCTGGTTCAAGGCCGCCAGCTCCACGGCTGACGGGACATCTTGCCAGCGTTCGGGATTCCGTAGCTCTGTGGATGTGGGACGTGGTGGGAGGTGAGGGATCTTGGGAGGTATGGGCGGTGGCTGACCATCACTCAGGTGAGAATCACGACCTGCGATTTGTGCTTCTTGGTCCTCTGCTAGCGACGCCAGGCGTGCAGGGAGCGTTGGCCGGCGTTCAACCGGGCTGAGGGGCGCCCGCTGGTGTATTATGTCGACACTAGGGCCTCGGGGGGGAAGCGGAGGAGGGGGTTCTCGTGAGCTACAGCAGCCCATGGTTGTTTTGTTGTTCGATCCTTTTTGCTTTCCGTCTGTTGTATGTAGGGGAGATGGTTGGGAGAGAAGGCTAGTTCCAGGGGTAATTAGTTTTTTTTTTTTTTCGGTATTCGGCTCAAGGCAGCGAGTGATTAGTATGTGGTTGAAAGTGCAAAAGGCGCGAGTTTCGTTGGATTTGCATGCATGCGGTTCCTTGTGAGGTGTACGTATGTCGCAATCAGATGTACATATCTATATCAGTATCTCGTGGTACTTGTAATCAACAACATTTACAGCAGTGAGAAGACGAGCGACAGGGAGAGGGAGAGGGAGAGGGAGAGGGAGATGGAGAGGGAGAGGGAGAGGGGGGAGGGGACGGGGGGGCCTTGCAGGGGAGAGTAGAGACAGAAGTAGTAGAACAGGGCAGAGCAGAGGAGAGGAGACGAGAGGAGAGGAGGATCAGAGGACTCGGGCTTGTCCCCGCATGCAATGACAGGTAGTTATGCGTTACCTACTCTACCCAGCACACGGGTACATTGAGCTGCGGAGAGCAGGCACAGTCTACTAGTATTTCTCTGACGTTTTTGAACTAGGCCATTATTGCATACACCCAAAATCATGAGCTTGGCGTATTTTTGTATGGCATGCAATATCAGTCGCGTCCACAAACGTCAGAGAAATACGAGTAGAGTATGTACAGAGGCAGGTCTGGGTGCAAGAAGAGCCTTCTGTGTGAGGGCTGACTCGGCAACCAACGACCAGCGTCCAGCAGTGCCCGCTGCCTATTCTATTCTGGGCGTAGAGGGTGGGTGGTGCAGCGATTGGCAGACAGCAGCCTGGGACACTGGGACAGGAAAAAACAAAGCCTCCTTTTAAGCCTCAAGCTTGTTCCTTAGCGAATGCCTGGAAGCGCGCACATGAGTGGCAGCGGGGCGGAAATACATACATAAGGCATAGCCCTGGGATAGCGCCTGTAGTGGAAATGCTTATCTGGTATGAGAATATGGTGCTTAACGCTTAAAGACTGGGGCCCTAAATGTCAATAAAATTAACAATCGTGGTCTGGCCTATCATCCGAATCATCGTGGAGTAGGGCGAATCCTAACATACATGTAGTACATACATGTAGTACTCTACCTTATGTATCAGTGGCTTTTCGAATACAGACATAAATGTACCTATCCGGGGGAGAGCCTTCTTCCACGCTTCTGCACTTTACAATATGAATACATGTAGGGTAGAAGCACATAAGAACGGCTCCGATCTCTGGCCCAAAATGCTAGGGATTTCAAAGAGTAAGAAGTGCGCCTACTTACATACAGTACTCTACATCACGAAGCCGCCAAGCTGGTTGTGATAGGTCGAGTGACATTCCACGGCGCCGTTCTATTCGCTAGCTTAAGCGAGTCTGTGACATCTCCCCAAACAGAGATACTCTACCTACTCCTCCTAATTCACACTACTGGAATCCCATTGCCTGAATCGAGCCATTACCTGGATTGAAGGTTGGTCCTACATGGAGACTCTGCCCGGAGTTTCCCTACTTACACACACATATCATCCAGTAGAAATATTCATTCAAACGCCTCTGGGAAAACCACACCTACTTAGGCTATGGCAGCTTTGAATCCATCAAAAGAAATGTGCCTTTTGGATCATGAAAATTTGTCACTTTCTTTCCCCCCCTGCGCACCCCTCTCACAATCTCTGGCTAAATTGAGAGTGCTAAACTGCCCTCACACTATTTAATTAGTAGAGTGCCTACCATCCACTCTTCCTCCAACGAGTAATCGACTGCAGCTGATAGATAGCCTTCTGAGTCGCTCGGTACATATCTCTTGATGGTACCTTAACAACACCCAATTTCAATCTTTAACCCATGGGCTGCTGCTCCTCAACGGAGTATGATCAGTATGCTGCACAGAGCAGAAGGCTAGCTACGAACCCAGCGGTAGTCAACACTACAAACTATCCCTACAGGAACCCTGTCCAAACTGCGAGTCGCCAAAGACCAAAGGCAAAGCCAAAGACAAATCCGAGGCCTAGAAGTTCGATACCCGGCTCAGTCATCACATCGGTAAATGAGTTGAATTGGCCAGCACTAGAGCCACTACCCGAACGGCCGGACACGCAGCGTGGCCGACCCACTCGATTTCTATCCGTCCTCAGTGTTAACCCGCGGGAAGAACTGGGCGAGATTCCCGAGACTGCAACTCCAGTTCTGCCACCAGATGGAATTTACTATGAAGGATATGCACCCCCGTTACCGGACAGGGTTCCCCAAGATCCCCACCCTGACAGGATGGCTCGCGAGCCTCCCCCGATACCACCCAAAGAGAAAGAAGCAGTCCTGGCGGGGGACGAACATGGGATCGCGTATGCCCCTGCGGTGCCTCCAAAGCCTGATCAAATTCGAGGAGAAGCCATCCCAGCACCGCTCGCCAAGGATCTCCACTCGGTATTCGCAGAACTTTCCTCCCAACGCCGGGTTGCTGAACTAGCAGGCCCACCGCCTCCCGCGGAGCTCGATGATACCCTCGTCCCTAACCCAGTGCACGAGGAAGTGCGCATGCAATACAGGGACGCAGTGCCGTATGCGCCTAATTTCTCCGAACTCCCTGCACAGGTACTACCGGTATCACCTTCTGGGCCCCTGTATTCTCCACATTTAGTCGGCAGTGAGATGAACCAAGGGCTACAGCCCCGCATAGCGTCTCCCAGACATGCAGACAGTATTCACAAGGAGATGGATGCCGCGGGCGCAACATATGAGCTGGACTACCGCCAAAGGTCGCCGCACAGACAGGTGGTGGAGAGTTTGATACCTAGCAGTGTTCCCGCCACTGATCCCCACAGCAGATATGTGAGACAGAGGACAGGGAGCAGGAGGTAACCCCGGCTTTAGAGCATATCTAATTTTGTGGTTGGTGGATGGGAGAGAAGTTCTCATATTCGATAATAAGCCTGGATCGTAATACTATTTTTCAATACCGCTCGGCTATTCTTGACCGATAGGTGCGTAATAGGTATCGGTAGCTAATTTATATTGGATGTTAGTGAGCTCTTCTAGTTAATGTTTAACGATATATATAAATGTGTACAGAGGGCATTCTTGTTCTTGATGGAGGGGATTAGGGCATAGGGCTTGGAGAGGATATTTATTGGGGGTTCGGGACTTACCCGATGAGAGGTCCATACATGTTATTCTCTTTGTCTTAATATCCATGTATATACGTATATATTTACTTTTCATTTTGGGGTTTCACTCTCTGGAATCATGGATTATCACTCGCTTCTATCTTTGCGTGTATCTGGCTAGGTGATGCTTTTAGGATGAAGAATTGTAGGAGGGATAGGGTTACATTGTTGAAAGCATATTCAATAGATGCCTTCCAGTAAGCAATAGAACAAGTTCTATTGCTGAATAGACCAAGTTTTGAGGTTCTGTTCGGTAGAGCGAGGGGGATCTATTTGTTCCCTCGGAACAGGGTTTATTTGATAGATACATATACCCCTCCCCCATTTTCTATCTGTCGAAATAGAGAGAATACCTTGCTAGCGCAAAACATAGTACCAAAATATGGCTTAATTTGTATTCTAGATCTTTACGAATATATAGCGATCACCATGTGCTTGCGAGAACCTAGTCTATTCTGAAACCATCCTCTAGCTCTATTACAATAGACCGCATTCTATCCCTAATTACGGTAAGGCGTCCAATAACGCGTATATATATATATGTGATGCGCTTCCGCCGTAAAGTACATATAGTGCAGGACCGGAGAGAAAACCAACACCCTCGTGCCCAATTAGTGCTATATATATATGGTGAGAATTAAGTAGGAATATTGTAGAAACCGGGGTCTAGAAACAGATTCTAAGTGGCTGCTTGGCCAATAGGACGCTTCCCATACAATCGTCTAGTGCGTCAATATAATGCTAAGGTATCTACACGGAGTTCGGTTTAAAATCAACTTGGCGGGTGTGTCCCTTCCGTGGCCACGGTCAGGCTCGATTAGTGATGGGTTCGGACGAGATAAGAGGAAATTGATGTTAGTCTCGGTCGCATTTTGAAGGTATTGCCGGCCTAGCTTGAGACAGCGCAGGAATCTCATCTTACTTGTGTTCTTGTGACCTCGCGGAACTGTTCTAACAGATATGTGCAGAAAACGTCACCAAATGAGTAAACTACATACAATACCAAAAATCATGGTGTTCTTGGTGCTGTAGCGAGACAGCACTAGTGTTGTATTCAGGCGCGATGCGGTATTGTAATTTGATGCTGATATAGGTCCGCATTTTTCGAATTGTATTAAGTGTTGGGAAGGCAGTATAGATGCTACAACCCTCGTCAATATGTTGTTTGATACAGTCTGTAGTACTATGGTAGTGTATTGGCCTTCTAATGATGATAATATTTTCAAGAATGCCGTAGTGCTACTACATCACTACAGAACCTAATACTAGATGTGTGTTCAAGGTGTAGTAACTTATCACCCCCGCGGGTCAGCTGCATGGGTTACAGCTAGTGGGTCATGTACAGCTAGAACGGTCTACTAGGGCATACACACATCAACATCTAGTACACCATAAATACATGTATGCATATACATGTAGTTACGTACCCGTCCCCTACTTAGCAGCAACCCACTCACAGCAGGTGAGCAAGAGGATGGGTGACGATTATAGGATGAGATTCCGACTTATCAAATCATCGAATCCAGCACCTTTATCACCATAATTTTCAACACACGTATGTGCAAAATTTCGGGAACCTTATGATATGAAGCACCTGCTAAATCTATTTCCATGACCTGGAAGTTTCCAAGACGTCACTAGTCAGATGGGTGAGATAGAAATTGCAGTGACCGTACTAATGCACTACAGGGGTAGTGCCAGCTTGTACAGAATGCGCATTGTTGAGAATGCTGCACTACTACAGTCGTTTCTAGGTCAACGGCGAACCCGGCTCGGTGATGAATGGCGACTTTTCGGGCTGATACTCAGTCGAGGCAAAGGGGTCGGCACACTTTTGTTGGCTTTTGTTGACTTCGATTGGCCCATTCGCCATCGAACCGAGTTCGCCGTTCACCCAGAAACGACTGTACTGCATTGAACCAAAGATTATACTCAAAAAACAACCAACTTTATCAAGAGATTACCTTTTTTAACAAGCCAATACTAATATGGGCTTGCAATAAGTGGGCACAAAAGAAAATATATCATTTTTGAAAGTGCGGCATTAAATTCAAAGTGGTCGGATTACAGTACGATCTCAAATAAAATATCACTGCCGTACTGAGAACATCCCTTTTTTAACACTGTAGTACGGTCGCCAGCGTTAGGGTTACTTGAATGTAGGTATTTTGAGCTGTTTTATGGATGATTGATTGATATTTCATTTATTATTTACGGAGCGGTTTTAAGAAACGCGCCGGCTAAAAAACAATTTTGTGTACTGTGGTAGATCTCATGCTCAAGGCCGAACAAAAATCTTTCTAGCCCCGCCCCCGCCGCCCCGGGATCCCCCAGGCCGCCCCGCCCCGCGCCTATTACTACGCCCGGTCAAAAGGCCGACTACTAGCTATATACCGTAGGGATGATATATAATGTGATCATGAAATCTATGTGTGGGTGAAGCTTTTTGATCGATACTATATATACTGCTCGCCACAAACTAAGAATACTCCTAGCTAGAGTACGTAGTCAAAGAATGAGGGTTAGTCTCTGCCATGGTTCAAAGTATCATACCTACTGTATGCAGCTCAGCTACAAGTAGTAGTCGGTCTTTGATTGAGCCTGACCTTGGAAGGGATACATATGGCTCTCTACATGTACTAGGGTGTAGCGTAAAGTGATCAGAATCTGATAAGACAAATACACATATTCACCGCAACATTAACTTATCAGATTCTGATCACTTACCCTCAACACCCGGTAGATCTGTTGTCGTGAGATCAAGGTTCGAGTTTACTACTGTCAAATGGACAATGCGTCGCGGGCTCAAGTATAACAATTCCAAATGCCATCAACCTCGTTTCCGCATGCAATTAATGAATTAAACAAAACAAAAAAAACCTCATTTCCGCCAGTATTTACGTTTGGCGCCAAGCGCTCTATCACAAATATACACTACCTTAAAAAGTAGGTATATCTTACCACTAATTACTTTAGAATAGAGTAATCTTCTGTGAATCCCAACAAGCACCCTTTAAAACTATTCTCCATAAAATTATAAGACCGGTAGACAGAACTAGAGTTCTAAAACTAGAAGAAATGCGGACTAAAAAGATATAGTCCGGATCCGCTTGGGAGCGGCCAAAAACGGAGTTCTTAGGAGTTCAAAACTCTGTTCTGGATAAAACGCCCGTCTAAGAAAATGAATCGTGTTTGGCTGCATGCCATATTGTATGTACAGGATATCGAAAACAACTCTATCAAAACAAACTTTTCAGATAAACAACTACTACCTGCTTCTTTCCGCAGTGACCGCAGCAACTACTAATCTCGACTTGCACCTTTCTGACCCTAATCCCTAGCTCGTAATTAATCAATCAGCACTGATCACTCGTACCATTTCTGATACTACGTGTAATCCTGCCGTTTCCATCATGAACGAAGAATGTTTCTCACACCACAACACTCCCTTGATTCCCAGTATTAAGGCCCCATTCTTCGGGTGGAAAATGAGGGATGTGGTGGGGATGGTGTTTTATGATATGCTAGTATTCCGTCCCTTGAATTTAGTTATTAGAGGACCATAAAGAGAGTTTTTGCTGGAGATAGATAGTCTGTGATCTGGCTGTGTAGAGGTATTAGATATAAAATGTTTAGGGTAAGATAGCAATATATAAATAAATTTGTTGATATAAAGCTATATTGGTAGAAACTATATACCAGGACATAAAGAGATACAAACACCGAAATCATTCAAGCCCAAGGTGGGCATATGTAAGGCCACCCCACACAGCTGGCATATTTCGATCATCAAAATCTCACTTTTCCTTCATCACGATCTCAATGGTGACATTTGCCGTGTTGCCTAATGTTTCCTTCACTTTCAAAATCACGGCATGCAAACTATTTTGAGCGGGATCGTCTGACTTCTCAACGGTTACGCCTGAGGACGGTGTAACAGTCATCTCGAAGTCAGGGTTGTAGAGACGCTCTTCGTACCAAAAGACTACGGTGTACTCCTCGCCGATCTCTTTCTTCGGATCGTAGTCGATGTCCTTTACCTTCCGGCTAATTGTAATCGTACGAGTGGAACTAGATGTTGTCTCCTATGAAGATTACTTGATTAGTAAGATGTATATAACATGCTCATTGGAATATATTACATGGGTAATCTTGACGGCGCGGTATTCATCGTATTTGGCGTTCTCAAGGGCTGAGGCATCTTGACCTCTTCGTCTGGCAGCCTTGATAAGTTGCTCCACCCGCATAGCATCCTTTGGTGCACTGCTACAACTAACGCCATCGTCGAGGTAGGTTGTGTACTCCTGCCATGTCTGATTAGAGCTTGCTCAACTACCCAATTCAACTCCTGATTATAAGAGCGCTTACGGATCTCTTTCTCCTATGTGTAAAAACATGGGGATAGACATTGAGTGTAATAGGATTCACTTTTCCATCACCAATGTATTGGCGAACTTCACATTGTGGAATAATCGAACCTTATAGTTCCCCGTTAGTAGGCTAGCTATTACTTTGCGTGTGATACTAGAGACTCTTACCCTCTCTGATGAAGTGCAATAGCACGTCCGGGTACCCCATTTTCTCCGGTTGTGGTGTAGTCCCAGGTGCGGGATCATTGTACTCGGGAATCGGAGCTCTCAAGTCCAACACTTTGCCACCTGGGATTGAAGGTACCAGCGGGACTCTTTGCGAGCTGAAAGGCCTCAGATTCGAGGGGAACCAGAAATACCCGAGAGGGAAATAGACCTCCCGAGATTCGTTCTGATGGCCTTCCTCGCTGCGACTGTGCATGATGGGGGCGACGAGAATATCTTGACCGACTACATACTGGTCATCCAGGAATTTTTGACTCTCATTAAAGTAGGTGGTATCTTGCGGGTCCGTCAAAAACTAAGGATGTCTATGTCAGCTAATTTTGGATGGCTGAAAAAATTGGCACAAAGTAGCGGGCGGTGGGGGATTACCATGGATCGTGCAATAGGCAAACCTTCGATTTGGTTTTCAAACATGGCATCATATAACACTTGAATCAACGCATACCGGAGCTCGAGATAGTACTTGACGATGTGTTCAACACCATAATAGAGCCACGCCTGACCCACAAGCTCTGTCTTGTTTTTTTCGCGGTACTCTTCCCAGTGTATTGGATATGCATATGGTTCCTATAACCGATCTAGTTAATTCTCGATTCCTCTTCATTCAGAAAACGCATTTACCTGGAACCACTTTCTCATTTCTCCTGTCTTGGTGTCCTTTCTACTAACATAGTGATTTCTAAGCCATGGTAGGAATGTCGAGCCGACGTACCACCGAATGAGGAGCTCGGGATTACAAATCTTTTCCTCCCTCTCCGGCTGCCCTGGAATGCGTATACGAGCAGGCTCAAACCCGCCTGTATCAGACCCACAGATACTCACGCCATTGAGCCCAACAGACAGAACCTGTGAGACTGTGATTCTCCAGAAGTCCCAAGTACTGGCATTATCACCAGTCCAGAGGCCGGCGTAACGGTACATTCCAGCATAGCTACCGCGCCCAAGGATAAAATTTCTTTTATTCTCGCGGCATTTGAGCTTGCTTAAACCTTGGAAGGTGGCCTTATGGAGGTTGTAGGAGTACACAGCCCACGCCTCAATGGCAAGTTTTGGGCTCTGGTTTGGAAGGTCGAGCATTAGACGGGACGGCAGTCTGCAAATTGTTATCAGTGTCGATGCTTCATGACTTATGAGCGGAGGTGGGAATTCGATGGTTAATTAATTACCCTTTCATGTCCCCAAAGGACTCATGGATCGCTGGTGTTGTCATATCCTGCCAGACAAACTCCAAACCCATCGTGAAGAGATCTTCATACTGTTGTCCCCACCACTCACGGACATCCTCATTGTTTAGGTCCGCGTAGTGCCCTGGCTGTAATCAGATGGTGTAGTTAGTAATGCAAATTTGAACCTATGCAAGGCAAGTGTAGGGCTCACTAACCGTGCCATCGTTGTAACCATAGCTAACCCCTCCGCGGTAAGGGCCACCCTTATTATAGTGCTTGCTAAAGTCACTGGGAAGGTCAGTTGCTATCTTTCCTTCACTATATATGGAAGGCACATACTATTCATCCCTATAAACATGGCCATTATCGTCTGTAAAGTACGGCCGCTTCTCCCATTCGTCCGCAGGGATGTTATTTCTATTGCCGTTTTGATAGCACATGTAATTGATCTTGGATACTTCTTCGGAGACTCCTTTCGTATATCTGTTATCCTTGATGAAGTAACTAAAAGAAGATAAAATGCACTGTTAGCTCTGCGCTCCGAAGCGACGCAAATACATGCAATACTGCACAACATACTCTTTGTCGCGCCCACTACGAAGGGTCTTGTAACCCTCCTCGCCGGGTAGGTCGTTGGCGCTGATGACAGGTGTAATGTTCGTACAGCACTTGATCCCATCACTCCTCAGCTGGGCAAACATTTGCTCGGGCTCTGAGAACGCCTTCCTGTCAACTGTGAAAGTCCGAAAGTTGTTCTGTCATTACCTGTTAGTATGAAGGTACGTTACTCTCAACAGCATCGATGGAAGAGGGAGGGGATGTTACCTGTAAGGGGACATCAATGTGTAATCCGTCAAGCGGAATCTTTCTATCGCGGTAGTACTTGACAACGTCAAAGAGCTGCTGCTTATTCATGTACCCATAGCCTTCCAGAACAAACAAGCTTGTTAGCATCCGAGAACCACAGGAAGACCTATCGGGAGCTTATCATGCGCAAGAGCATACTCCTGACTGAAATAGACACAGTATGCACTTACATGATTGGTGGTTCCCCAATATATATCTCGGCTTTAATGCAGATCGACCAATAATGGCGGTATATAATCTTTCAACAGCTCCCACCCCGGATTAGCCCCTGATGACCCATCGGCATTGATAAGATTGTTGGGGAAAGCCCACCTAACAATATCCCTCACCGTATCGCCGGACAACATAATAGCGTCATAACACCCAAACTTGGTACCAAGCTTTATGTATCCTGCATTTGTCTTGCCAAAGTCAACACACATTTGGGAGTAGTTGTCGATAAAGGTCGCTGTGACATTCTTGTGTTCAGGATTTGAATTGACGTCCAAGAAGAATGGGTCCGAATGGTATCTGTCACACCGCCGCGGAATGTCTTGGTAAGTACTATAGTAACCTGATGAAGCGACTTTACGATATATCTGCAGTTGAGAGGCCATGTACTTACAGCGGCTCTCTCGGATCCGTGGGGCCTTTATCATAGACCTGCTCGTACTGCATATTGTCCGCGTCTGTACAATGTTTAGCGGCACTCACAGGGCAGAAAGATGGGGGCATTGGGGAAGGAGCCACAAACTAAAGTAATTCATCATGGTCGGCTTCTTCATAAAGTTTGAGCCTCCCTGCTCGCCCCACCCAATATACTCTCCGTGGCCCGGCTTGATCACATCAAGAATCACATTCTTAATCATATCATGGTCAGGGTCCAGCTTATAGCGAAATGTCTGCTCCGAGGTCTGCCACACGGTCTTGAGCCTTGGTGTCGATTGTATAACTTCAACCGGGAGAGGCCAGAGCTCATCTAATGGTTTGAGTGAGCGGGAAGCCTGTGATGCGTACAATTCGTTAGTTTGTGGAGATTTCCTAGTATGATGGGCAACATATATACCTGGAGGCGGAATGGCTTTTTGTAGATGTGAATAGACATCGCTGGGCCCTGCTCGTAGTGGCCATCTGTGGAATCCGAGACCGAGGTTACTTCCGACTGTTACGGGTGTCGAGTGGTGAGCACATATCGGCGTTATGCTAGCTGGGAGGGGCAGGATACTTTGAAGGTCCAATAATCACCAGTTGCACCCTTGACGAGAGGGTCCAACTTAGATACCCATTTAATCCCAACACGACTATCCAGGTCCGGAATCGTTTGCGATAGATAGTCCCCAATGATGGTACGCCTATCAACAGAGGTAGATAAGCATTCTGTCAATCCTTAAGACCAACTAGACCGGTCGGAAGAGCATTCTAACGTGTTAATATCTTTGTACTCATTATGGGAGATGACGGTAGGATCAAACCGGATCCTCCACACCGTAGGTCTGATGTACTGGAGTGAACATAGCTTGCCACCGACGAACTTCAGCGTTATGCCATGCCAGTGATTGGGGTCAGCGATGTCCGCGGGCGGGTCGGGGATAATCTCCTCAACCTCCTGGGGACAGTCCCAGGAGTGAATGTCGTCGAAGTAGTCTTCGGCCTTCCAGAAGTTGATGGGATCAGTGTTTCCGGCCATTGCGTGTAGTAAGTGGTAGATGTGGACGGTTGGGGAGCAATGTGGTATAAGTTGGAGGGTCTTCTGGGGATTACATACAGAACTGGCCCTCGCGGCCGGATGCTCCCAACCTGGGGAGAAATTGACCGAGGATATTTTATCTGTAAAGAAAAATAAAGAGCAAAAGAAAAAGAAAGGAGAGAGGGATTGGCGCAGCGGATATGTCATGTATGCCGACGTAAAGAGAAGCATCTTCAATATAGTCATAAATGCCTTGTATAGGTAGACTCCGCTCCTAAAAGTCATCTATAGCATGCTGCAAGAGGGCCCCCGTTAGAGTATCGCTGGCCATGAGTCTAGTACAGAGTAAAACTAGTGGAGAAGGTGGTACATAGCCCTTCTTCTCTTCGTTCGGTTTGTTACCTTCCGGTATCATATCATGCATCAAAGCTCTGGTAATGATTCGGTACGAAAGCGAGATATCGATGTCTATCTGTGGGTCTATATCTTGATGTGTCGTGTTCGACCTGACTGCTGCCTGTTCAAAACGTCTGGGGGTATATCATGACATGTGTAGAAGCTAATATAAATATATTGCGCGCATTATATATCTTGATGTTTAGAGGGAGGCTTCGAGCCGTTAGTTAGATATCATTTTCTTTCGACGATGCGCCCCACGCATCCATTTCGAAATAATCCGTTATTTCTAGCGAGTAGAGGCATATCTGCTCTAATCAGAGTGATAATAGCGCTAGGAACATATACAGATAGATACAGGACTAGATACTTTTTTGGAGCTTCAGTTCAGAACCGCTTCTCGAGAAGTACGAGTGATAGTAGGTGACGTCAATCGTTAAGCACATTTTCCCCAATCCTCTGTATATATGGCATGCTATAGCACTATAGTTTACTTCCCCGATACCTTTTGAGTGCAAGTGGTGAAGATCTAGAAATAACCGTACCTTCACACCAATTAACCCCGCTCCCCACCTAGAGGATAAGTAAGTCGGGAAGGGGAATATCATGGATTTCTTATAATTACACCTCGAGCTAAACTTCTGTCTTCATGACCACCGAATATCAACTAATATAATCAAGCTGGGTGTGAGTGGGGGATGGTAACTCTGGAGGATTGAGTGGAAGGTCTCTTACATCTAGATCTCCCCCCTGCAGTTGACGTGTCACGTTCTCGTAAATACGCAGTGGGGAAACGGCTTCCGTCCCTCGAGCTCATGAGTGTATCTCGGGGTGCGCGCTCTACATTAAACATACATGTAATATTGTAACTGCTCTGCTCAAGTGCATTGTTCGAATCTTGGCTGCATACATGTAGCTACTCTATATAGAGTTACCCCTCGCTTACAGGGATTCCCTGGAATACTCTATTGAGACGTCTTCTCAACAGCGGTTACATGCATATCTCCAAAAACGAAACATTCTCGCGTAGCTAGCACTCGAGCCGGCTGTCATCGAATACTCTCAATGCATGCAGAAGACTTTACATACATGTAAATGTACTACACGGTTCGGAGATAAGCTTTTGCAAGACGCCGATGGCAGCACAGGATGCACCTCGCGATATCGGGATGATCGCCTGCTGAGATAAGGTACACACAGGTGAAGTAGGGTAGGTACATACAATCCAGACGTTTTTTCTTGCTTTCTTTTTCTTTGTCAAGAGACTATGGCGGGGGACACCTTGAGACGGAGTGGTTTCGGGAGTCAACCTCAACCGCCAATGACTTTCCCCAACCACACCCTAATTTATTTTTCTCTCTGTTATTCGATAGTTCTGCTTCTTCTATACAACGTGACAGAGCCAGATTAATTCTATCTTTCGTTGTGGTGGTGCTATGAATATTCTAAAAGCTGGGTTTTTGGTGGGGACCCAACCAATGTCGCGCCCATAATTACCTATTTGGGACAGGTAAATTACCCGATTAGGAAGCTCTACATCTAGATACGGCCTTTGAGAGCGCCCAGAGGCTGATTTTGGCGAATTATTATCGGTAAATTGATTAAATAATTACCCGATTGGGAAATTGATCGTCAGAAACAATGCCGCGAACCTCCGTCTCAAGGTGTCCCCCGCCATACATGTCAAGTCGTAAGTCTAGAATATGTACAGCTACCTATTCCAATACAGAGCAGTGGACTTGCAGTTAGCGCTTAAAGTCAATTGATGGATCTTGTCATGTCGTTAATTCGGTAACCTTCTAGTATCCAGCTTTGAAAATTAAAGCAATTAACACGCACCTGATACAACGACAGAAAATTGCTCCCCAGTGTTCCCTCCATAACGGCGGCGTTGCCTTGGCGGAAGTCGAACACTCTCATGATCTCAATCATCCTCACGGGCCCTTTCTTGATCGAAACTATCCTCCAATTGGCGATATGAGGCCATATATCTGCAGGTTTTTTGAATTTTCCAGCTGAAGTAGATCATTCCCCGCATCATGTCTTACTTTTTAACCGATCAATGTCCAGGGGAAAATAATCGCTCTACTGCATCTGCGGCACTTCCCATCCCGCTGCGGGTTAAGATCGTAAGCCGGCCGTGCAAACTCTCCAAGAAACTCTGCATTTAGGTACGGTTATTTATACAATCTAACCCTAACCCTGAAGATGACTGGCTGATATCAGGTCACATCGCGTGCCCGTGATGATCCATAGACTACTATTACCGAAAAAGCGGCGTGGTGATATCTATTAATTTGACAGTCACGACGAGTGGGTCTATCGGAGAAGAAATAACAAACGGTAACCTATATTCTAAAGTGGCTCGCCCGCAGGATGAGTTAGCCGTGCTACTAGCAAAGATTTTCTGAGCAGGTTAACACCTCAGTATATTTTTACGGTTAACAGAAGGAAATTTCAATAGGAGAAATGTGCAGGGAAGTACATGCATTTCGGCGTAGAATGCGTAATATACATGCAGTGATTTGTTGTACATACTTATAAAACGCACTGAGGTGTTGATGGTGTACACTTATCTTATTTGATGCCCATTGCTAAAGAATTTTTAACAACACTATTGTTACTAGCTATGGATGACTCCTACTTTTTCCATTCCAACCATCTGGTCGAAGCTTACAAACCCCATTTATGGTATCGTTCTTGTTTTAGAAAGTACAGCTATGATATATATATATATATATGTATTATTGCAATTTGATGACACCGACTTAAACTTCGGGCACCGGACACAATCTCATACCAGGTACGTGTAGCTGTTGAACCATTATTATGAGGGGGTAATAACCAGCGTTTCCCTGCTGTCATGTTGATTCAAATTCAAAAACGACTCTAACCGGCGGTCAATGATCGACGAAACAGGAAATCCCGTGGGCCAAGCGTGCTAGGCCCCAGGGGATATTATGTGTCTTTATCTTCAGGGAGTAGCACATTCAAGTAGACTGATGAAACTCATTTCAGCATCCCACTAAGTCTCTGAACTACTTTGTAATGAAGGCTTGCACTTCGGCTTAAGCTTCTGTCAAGGTACATGTAGACTAGAGATGTCAGTCGACCGGCACCTTCCACCAGCGAAAGGGAACCGTAAGATGTATAGACGTATGCATGTGTACATGTAGCCTTCTGTGTAATGTGACATTTCGCCCAACATAGAAAGGGCTACTTTGCTTAGGTAATCTACCGGCTGCACCTAGTACCTCGGAACAGAGCTTGCCATGCCCGCGTACTTTCCCGAGTCACATGGAATCACTCGGTCACACGACATCACTCGGTTAGAATTACCTAAACATTTTTTTTTTTTTTTTTTTTTGTTTAATTCATTAATTGCATGCAACTTTACAGTTATGGCAATACTACCTAAACATTTTTGTATGTCGTACACATCAACTCTCATATCAATTCAACTCCCATCTGTGTCTCTCACTAACTCTAGATCTATCTCCCTAATTGTAGCCCCTACTTTCAAGTCCATCACCAATGATGAATAGTAACCGGCCCAGTTGAATCAGTTCAACATATATATATAGTGATGGTTTTTTCTAGTGCAAAGTATCAACCCTTACGTACGTACTGCTGCTAAGGAAAGAAGCTTAAGAGCGTATATTTATACGGCCACTTTCTGGGCTGGTAATATCGAGCTCGCTGTAGACTTGTTCTGATAATAATATAGTATGATTAATGCCCGTCCAGCGTACACCTGCGCTATGCCGTCAACAGCTCTAGCTGGTTTCGCAGAAGGGTTGGAATTGGGTATGCCTGTCTTTGAGGAGAGTCGGGAGAACGAACCTTGATCATCATACTCGGGTCCAAAGGTGATATTTTTTGATGTATGCGGGAATCTAGAGGCTAAGCATGGCTGGCTGGAAAAAACTTGCCTTCGTGCGCTACTGACTCTAGAAGCCCGCTAGGTGCGGCTGCCGATACAGACCGTTTCCGGCGATCCTCCTCTCACCGGCTGCCTGGGTGGCCCAAAGATCGGGATACTTTGTAATAAACAAGCGGTCTAGTAGCAGCTGACATAGAATGGTGCCAGGCATACATTAGCTCATCAGGTGAGAGGAAACCTGTTAATGCGTGCCCCATATGCCCTAGATCCTCTCGTGTGGTGAAAGTACTCCCTCGTACGTGCTCATATATATATATCATATACGTTGATGTATTTGAGAAGGCGAGACTGCATCTGTGGTGTGGTCTGTAATGGTATTGATATACGATAATAAAGACCCACAGCCAGAGTGTAAATATAATGCAAGATCAGTTTAGTACTCCAACCAAGCTCGGCTTCGTTCAACCAGCGCTCGATTATATCTGAGAATTATACAGTGTAAACGGATATACAGCTAGGGGCTCCTAACCCTGTGGGTTGAAGGGCCATCCACCCGGTTTTCGTCACCCCCCCCCCCTTTCCCCCGCACCCGGGTTCTCTTTTATTTTGCACTCCAGGCTTTCTCGGTGGTCCGACGGCAGCATTACCGAGGGTCAGAAAAGGCTGAGCTGCGCGTAGTGATGCACACGATACAAAAAGTCTCGAGACTTTGTTTTTTTAGACGATACGAGAGAAGACGAGACCTGTAGGCGGGCAAGACAATTTGTCTCGAGACTGATCAGGACGGTCTGGAGACGTCTCGAAACATATTAAAATGTTGAAAAATGGAGATCTGAGACGTAAATTAATACGTATAGTTCTAGGCCATAAATCATGGGAAGGCGGCGTAGCAACCTCCCGGGCAACCACGACTACCCACCCAGCAACCACAATTGATCCTTTGGAGAGCTGGTTTTTTGTATAGTTGTTAAATAGTAGCTAAATAAAAATAATTTGACATTTAATATTTTGTGTACCAACCCTTGCCTTTATAACAGCTCTATTCTCCTAGGCATGCTCTCAACTAACTACCAAATAAATCATCAGGTAACAGTTCCCAGCAATGAATGAGACCTTCCTCCACGAGGGTCTTTAATACTTAAGGTGATCTAGTACCATATGCCAAATGGGGGTACTGTTGATGGTAAAGCTTCTTGAGGTGTACCCAAACATGTTCAATGGGATGGAATAGGCAAGCCAGTCCTCCAGAACATCTACCCTATTCTCCTCCAACCAGAGTTGTAAGACTCCGGTTTTTTGCCACAGCAGGGAGGCTGGTCATTCCCTCCTAGCTGTCTGGCGGGGTACATGGTCTCTGGGCGCCATCGGTAGTGGTGAAATATTTTGTGTTCAGGCGTTGCGGCCTCGCGCCTTCCCATGGCTTATGGCATGGCGCTGTATACAGGGGTGCCGGAAAGTGATGCAACGACTCAATTTACTACTCATGATTTCAACCACATGCAACCCAACTTTGACTTTAACGAAGCAGCGATATATAGTATGTAAAGTAAAGAGAGTATGAAGAATTCATCAATCGCATCAAAATGAAAGAAATTACATGTAAGGTGGTTGCGAATTCACTAAGACCTCACCCTATATTTCCAAGCCGTTGCATCACTTTTGGGTACCCCTGGGCACATATATGAATTTAAGAACGTTCAAACCTAACCCTAACCCTAACCCTAACCTCGATTTTATTCTGATATAGTCTAGTGCTCGAGCTGCAGTCTTGAGACTTTGCGTAATACCTGCCCTATATCTCTTTAACCCCACGAGACCCGCGCTTCCCAGATGCGGGACAAGACGAGATCAATAGAAGTCTCGTCTTGTCTTGTGTGCATCACTAGTTGCGCGCCTAGCTCCTCCTTACAAAACATTTCCTGCTTCTGCTAAGGCCATTCAGTGCTTATCCCTCTTCGTTCTGTATGTTCCTAAATATTATCTCTAATCGATCCGTGAAGGTTTGGCCAGGAGGGATGAAAGGACTGATTAGGTATAGATATGTCCTTGTCGCTGGTAGAGCACTCCCGGCTAGGGTGACACGGGTTCCTGCATCTGTCAAGCGTCCATACCCGTTCACTTTGAACAATAGTGTGTCCTTTTCATCAGCCGTGTCCCATATCGCAGGTTTGCAGGTCGTCCAGACCCATTGAAATCGAGCTCAGAACCTGTTTTATAATAACCTCATGTTATTAACCATGGCGTCTTCCAATGGCCGAGCATAGATCTATCATCTAGTAAGGTAACCTAGTCGAAAATAAGAGGGATCGAGACATCTACTATCCCCTCATCTATTACCGGTAATCACAACATGATAGACACAATTTCAACAATAAGTTGTGTACACCATCACCTTTGGCATCAATTTCGCGTGACAAGTAGGTCGATTTTGCACCGCCAGTCGATCAGCGGTTCCAGCTATCTCGTACCTAGCTAAACTCCTTGGCGGCAATGTTCGTACCTCACGTAGCTTCTTCGTAGTTATGATGGAAGTGCACACCCGATTATTGACCAATCAGAATCATAGAAGGTCTGGGCACGAGACAGCGGTTCCAGCTAGTCTCTAATTTCGGATGTTGAGCCACCGATTGCCACAAGTTCTGAAAACAGACGAAGGGATGGCAGGAAACTTCTCGTTTGGCACAGTATGCATAGTTCTCGCCATGATGAACCGGGTAATCCGCATAGTTCTATTCCGGCTTGGTAAAGGGGTAGATTCTCCAGTCTGCCTGGTGGAATTGGCGTTCCATAGGCAAACGGGTCGACTTGGTGGGAAAGGTGGAAGACCCCCCTCCACTTCCGGGGCACCCCATGATACCCTAACGACACCTGTTATCGGAAGAAAGATGGTCCTCGTGAAACCTAAGGCTAGGAAGGAACCAAAACAGAACCGCAGATCCCACTGGCGGGGGAACCGGTAGACGATGGTAAACATAGTCTCGCCGCATCTCGCGGTGATCACACACTCTGACGGGGTTGATCGGTAGATCTATACACGTCCAGGACAGATTTCATCACGAGAATTCCCGAAACCAGGGTATTATATGCAAGAAAAACGTAGCAAATAGTTTCAGATGGGATATAGTTACCTCGAACTCGGTAAATATCACTAGGCTATTAACTGAACTAATTCTGTTTATTAATGAAGCGATCCCAAGCCGAACCACACCCCACTGATAGACAAATCAAGCATTTCTGAAACTAGCTCTGCTGGTCAATTAAGGTGACCCCTTCAGCATCTGCATAATTGGTATGATAACCCGTTGAGCAATCATTGACTACATCTGGGGATGAAAAAGTTGACAGCAGGCCAGAGTATCTGCACCAAATTGGCACCTAGATGAACGCCTGAGTCTGCAACCAAACTGACACCTGGGATATTATAAAATATTAGGTAGGTATGCAGGCGGCTAAAGGTGAAGTTAGCGCTACTTGGGTAAGGCGACCGCAACGGAAAATCTACCCGAGTGATAGATTGTGATTAGAACTCCGAGTGATAATCAGTGACGGAAAGCCACCGTCGCTTATAGAAAATTCATGCACCTTCCAGGTGGACATGTATAGATAATCCTACCGGCCTGCCCGCAAAGCTATACAAGTTGTAACTCCTTTTTAAAGGTCTGCCTCATTTTTGGCTGCCTGCGGATATATTTCTCTAGGCCAGAGAGGTTTTGGTGGGGTCGTTCGGGGTCGTTCGGGTCGAGCCATTTACGTGGGGTCGTCCCCGACGCGCTAAAACTATTTCCGGTGCGGAAATAACCGCGCCATACTGGCAGGTGGAGGCAGCGCCGGAGGCATTAGTCTAGGTGCTGCAGGTGCAGCGCCTGCAGGTGCAATTGGGCATCAAAATAGGCGCAAATAGGTGTCACCTAGGCGTCGATTTAGGTGCCTAAATAGGTGCATCTAGGTGCACCTGGAGGCAGCGGCGGAGGTGGCGGAGGTGCCAGCGGTGTAGGTGGAGGCGGCGGTGGAGGCGGAAGCAGCGGCGGAGGTGGAGGCGGAGGTGGAAGTGGAGGCGGTGCACGTGCAGGCGGTGTAGCTGCAGGCGGTGCAGGTGGAGGAGGTGGCGGAGGTGGCGGAGGTGGGTTTGCGGCGAGAGAAAGGTGTCGTTTGCGGATTGCGGATTTCGCTGTGGAATGGCACTACGGTCCTTAGTGCCTGCACCCATTACGGTAGATACACTGATAAATAGCCCAGAATTTAAATTCCGGGTTTGTGTGAAGCCCCGTAAGGATTCGCGGTCTTGGCAGGAATTTCAGAATTGTTCGCATGAAAGCTGCTTATACAGCTCATTCAAAAATTGAACGTCTCATTCAAGACCCAAAAGTATATAATCGTGAACCAAATGGTAAAGGGGGGGGGGGCTGATAATGGCAATTTTTGTTCACTTATAATTATGAAAGAGAACTATACTATTATTACTCAAAATAGAGATGGATTACTGATCCTATGCATCTATTGACCGTTGGATTTGTTTCCCATAGCCCCGGTTTAAACAATTGGGAGGTGTACGTGTAAGCTCGAAGTGTTCATCAATACGTCCCCATTGCCGGTCCCCCTCACATACACCCCTCCCCCCCCCGGGGCTGTTTAATCAGTGATATTCCTCACCCTGATCGTTCGTTTTATCTCTATATATGTAACCTGCTCAGAAAGGTCGACCATTTTTTGCCTTTCTTTTACTACCTGCGTTAAGTACCCCTTCCCAGTATCTCAAATCGATTGTTTTTTTACGGTCTTGATAACGGCTTAAGCTACTGTGACTGATACACAGCCTCGCAAATCCTCTTACGACTGTGGTAGGAGCAAACATCCTCCTACGAGGCCCAATAAGTGCTCAGGCCCAGGGCATCTACCTTAATAGGGCGATTATTGTACATCAAAATGATACAGCCCGGTCAGTCAACTGGAATTCTCTCTCTGAGGTCTACGTACTCTGTGGGGGGGGGGGGGGGGGGTGGGGTCACGGGAAAGATCCTCAACCAGCAAAAATTGCTCAAATCGACTAACTCCCAAAATCGGTTCTCAAGATTTATACCCAAGGGATAGGTTCTATCAATCTAAGGATTTCTAATTAAACAATCCTTTATTTCATATCTATTATGGTTGTGGAGTTATACTTGTCCCATACAAAATCTGGTTGCAATGTAAAATCACAGTTACTTTTGTCACCCAGCTATACCTTGGTGCGAGGATATTACCGGGTTTAGAACTGGTAGAGGGAGCTGTAAGTTGACTGTATATGTGAAAGCATAAGGCGGGGTATAGCTACCTGGGGACGTCTGCACTATTGACACTGGCTCGACTTAGCAACCGAATTAATAAGAAACCCAAAGGGGAAAGTTGAAATTACCTTGGGAAATTGCCTTGACCTTCTGCATCCCGCTTCCTCTTCCTGCCCGCCGTCTTGCCCCTGGCTGCTCGTAGTGCCCCAGATGTTCCCTTCATAAGCCCCGCTAGCGCGTTCACCGGTGCCGTATTAAGGTCGATCTTTGAGTGATTGAACGAGTTTTGATGACCACACCCGCCGGTGGCACGTTCTGTCGGTCGCGCTACTCGCGCGCAAGACGCCTGTTGTGCCCCTAGACGCAGTAATTAGTGCAGTTACACCCCCACCACTCACACACCCCACAAGTGGGTAGCTTAAGGCGACCAAACAGCAGACAGACCGCGCAGATCATCTGTGCCCCAGTGGGAACCAGCACCGCGCTGCGCGGCACGCTTAACACCAGACAGATCTGCAGTATCATCTGATGCAGCGGTACTAGCTCAAGTGGGAAACAGCACCGCGCTGAACACCAGACAGATCCGCAGTATCATCTGGTGCGGCGGTGCTGGGTATATCAGTGATAAAGTTCTCCGACCCTCACCAGAAGACCTACTGCCTGAAATCCTTTGAGAAGTGCAGCTGCCTTGACCTTCTTCTCGACCGCGGTGTTGGCAGCGTCCCTGGGGAGAGTGTGAGGACCCACGAGCTTGTAAGGTATGTGTAGGTGAGTGATGGGTTACTTGTAAGGTAGTCGAGCATTCCCCATTGACCTATGGGCGTGAAGTGAAGATAAATGTCGGCGGGGGCTTGGTTAGCACTAGGGGCTGCTGGCTGGAAGATGTTAACGCGGCAAAGAGCATTGGGGGGGGGGGGTATACTGGAGGGGGACAGTCACGATTGGAGCGTGGAGGGAGAGATGGGCTTGAGGTCATATTGTGTGCAGACGTGTGTGTGCATGTGGGGGTGATGATCAATATGGTTGGGTGGGTACCGGTAGTGCACTATAGTAGATCTGCAAATATACGATTATAATGAGTAGAGTAGCTTGAAAGTTGTTTTTGGTGCGTACCCTGATGTTAGCGAGGGTATAAGGGCTATGGTTAAATTAATTTTCTCTAGAATTTTCAAGTCTCCATATGTACAGTACGATGCCAGTCGTGAGCGTCAGGCGCAACCAGATTTCCACAACCTTTTCACGGCGGGTTGGTACACAAGATATTAAATGTCAAATTATTGTTATTTATCTACTATTTAACAACTATACAAAAATTCAGCTCTCCAAAGGATCAATTGTGGTTGCTGTGCTGGTACCCGTGATGGTTCGGGGGGCGTTGCGACGCCGCGCCTGACGCTCACGACTGGCATCGTACTGTACATGTACATGTATATGTATATACAAGTAGTTTCCGGCCTTCGGCCGGTACTATATGTATATCAATCAGTCTAATATAGAGGCAAGCCGCTTTGCGGCTTATTTGTCTCTTTGCCTCTCAGGCCGCTGCGCGGCCCACGACCCCTCCTGGCAGGCAAAATCCATCACTATATCTAGATCTGATCTGGTCAATATGTTACTTTTCTGATATATTATCCCCATATATCAATGGATAAGTCAGACAATTTCTCCAGTTAAAACTACAGGAATATCCCTTTAACAGCTACCAAACCGCTAAAATTGAACCACTATCAATTCCCAGAACCAGTAGCAACCCTATTAACACTCTAACACCACTCAGCACAATACCCTATGTTAATATCCAACACAACATGTTTCAAGTGAAACAAAAACATCTCTCAATGAACCAATCAGAAGACTATAAAAGCACATTGGATATGCAGGTTATAATTATATACTTAGTAGATATATGTATGCATTAATTGATCCATTGTTGGACCGGATCAATTAAATTAAATCCCTATATATACCTTATACGAGCTCACAGGGCCGGGCCGGTTGTCGCTGAATTCTAGGGGTGCTCCGCCAGCTCGCGATCGTGAGTTACTTTTGATATCCTCAGTTGGTCCCAGCTCTCTTCCCAGCTCCTGTGTGTTTTCGTTGACTAATTCATGGAATAGGATACAGCGAGATCGGGCCTCTGCTGTTGGAGGATTGGGGCGTAAATCATACCGAGACATTGAAAGCTAAAATGTGAGAAGTTGGAACTCCGGGCAGACAGTACTCACAGCTATTGATTGAGGTAATTGCGAGTAAGGCTGTGCTTCCTATGATAAAGGAAGATATGGGTATTTCAATTGACAAAGCTAACTATTTAGGAAGGTATGTAGCCATGTGGCAACGGACTATGGCCTGATGGACGGGGGGAGGGGGTCCTACGATGCGGAGGAGAGTGAAAGCTACCAACCGTACCAGTACTTCGAGACGAGCTACAAAGGACAAGAAAAAAACGGTTTTTTTGAATCGTATCTTGGGAGGAACATAAAGACTATTCATCATCATATGTATCAATCGTGTTTCATTGTCTGTCTTGTCAGGATTAATAAGTCGAGAATATGAGCTTTTATCAGGGAAGTCAAGAATGTACCTAGTATTGCCCTTAGTATTTATACTCATATTATCGTTCAATACGAATATGCATCGGATCATTTATCCACGAGCCGTTAACTTTTAGTTCACAGGCTTTCTACTCTATGATTCATTGATGTTTGAATGCACGACCTATTCAGAACTAGTACCCCTTGATTAATAGGATAACCGGCCGGTTTGGCAGCATTGATCGCTGAGTGGCGTTTACCACCGAGTCAGAGCAGTTATCACGGAGACACCTGCTGGGTGTATCGAGCTGTACAGTAGAAGACAGACCTAGATGTCTACTGCTGACGTCGACACTTAAGAGTGGGAGAACATTAGTGATAATATTAATCTTGGGTTCAATTCAATTGGGCAATTGTTATTCTACCTACTGGCGGCCTTAAAGGCAAGGACTACGTTAATTTGATAATGAGACCAGCACTCTACCCATTTTACAAAGAAAGTTACAGAGCAACACACGAGGCTATTGTGATGGGGGATTGTGCCCCTCCGCATAGGTCTAGGGCTGCTATAGCTAATGCATGTCTCAGCCCAGGCGCGTGCGCCGTGCGCGTTCCGTCGCTTATTACCTACCGCTCTATGTAACGTTTTTGACCGAGTACCGTGTCAGACCTAGAATCGGGTCGTACTAAAATCTCCATACAAATTTTGGAGGCGAAAAGGCTCGGCAATAACCACGACCAGATTTGTATGGTAACGACCCGATTCCCAGTCTGACACGGCACTAGGTCGGAAAGGTTACCTCGAATGAAGTAACAATTCGTATTAGTATTCACATATGGTTTGCTGACCGGTTTGTTGGTTGGTTTGTTGGTTGCCTGAATATTATTAAGTTTGTTAGCCAGAGGGGGTAATGATCACCTGCCCACCCAAATATCTATCTAGTCTCTCCACGTCCCTACCACTATTTTCTCCGTCTCTCCTAACTTCCCTTCCCTCTCAATAGCTAGCTCACATAATTAACCGCAATGGACAATAATGGCACCGACTATGAGTGGGAGGGTGAGGACTATGCGGTAGATCTAGAGGAGGTAACTGACTTTACATTTGACTTTGAGCAGCAGGCCCAGATGGGGCTGGGTACGGACGAAGACGAGATCTTTATTGACGGTCTTATGGGCGGTGGTATCGGACCGTGGAAAGTATCCTTATCGGCGCAGGCCTTAAAGGACCTCAAGCAGTCGAGGAGTGAGGGTATGTACCTCTATCCATCCACCCATCCATCCTTCCTTCCTTCCTGCTTCTACCCTCCCATCTTCCGGTCTATACATCTATCCTAACTGTAGCTTACTGAATAGGTAATCACCTACACATACTTGGAAAATTGCGATCCCTAGCCAGCGGGGACTGGGTCCGGCGGTCTGTAGCGAGACCGTTTCCCCCATGTGGGCGCGAGTTCCGCGTGCGGCTGTTCCAGGCCCTATACGGAGCTAATGGACGAATTCTATGGCAGGTGGACGTTGGATATGATGACAAGTGCGGCAGCAATAGTCAGATTGTTAGAGGTGTGTATATATATCGGTGTTCCATCATGTTAGATGTTTGTATACAAGTATGGATAATGTATGTAAGCTGACGGTTGCCGACGGTATGCAGTGTGGAGCATCGGCGATGTCAAGGAGGTATATATGAACATGATTCTCCTCTGATGAGGCCTACCAATATAACTGACGATATATATGGTGAATGTACAGATCCAGGCGTCGCTCGACGCTGTAGAACGCTCGCAAAAGACATTTTCTGCCACACGGGTCGAGCGCTGCAAGAGGAATCTTATCGATAAGGCTGCTCGCCTGAAGCTCCCCGTCGTATTTGAATCCAGCTCAGAGGAAGAAAACAGAGAAAATGGCGGGCGAGAGACAGAGCCCGACAGCAGAGATCCGCCTGAGCAAGAGCGTGTGCCGCAGGATATGCTCATATCAGGTCTGTCACTCCCACTGCTAGATATATGTAGCTATATATACATAGTACCTTTGAGAAGTTCTCGCTGAGGAAAAATTAAATCGTTTAATAAACCAATAGGAAGGTTTCATACCCTCACCGTCAACGTCTTTACAAGTATTCTTCAAGGGCAGGGCCACTCTGATTTCCCATTCGACGTCACTGGCCCTGAAGCTACAATCATCAAGCACAAGAACGCGACCTTCATTCTTGGCCGCAGCGGGACGGGGAAGACGTCATGCCTCTTGTATAAGCTCATGTGCCGCTATCTGGCGCGGAATATAGTGATGCAGGAAGAGCCAATACGACAGGTATTCCTCCCACTGGCCACCTTTTCATGTTGGGGGGGGGGGGGTGTATTTGGCGGTGGCTGACCTGTTTGGTATATATCTACACACATACATAGTTGCTCCTAACCCGCTCCGAACCACTCGCACGAAAGCTCCAGAGTGACGTGAAGCTCCTCATCGATACACAACTCTTACGTGTGGCCGATTATCCCCATGTTTATGGCGATGTTATCGGTTATGAACACGGAAACGGTACCCCCGGCCAGATCGACAGCATGGACATGGACGCCGACACCACCGAAGACCTTTTCTCCTTACGCACCGACAACTTTCCGTTTGTGTGTACATTTGACCACTTCTTACGAAGGCTTGAGAATACTATAACGTACTGCCCCCTCCCTTCCCCCCGAGTTTGAGTGAGTGGTTTGTTTAGTGCCATTTTTAGTATGATGCATGAATTAATGTCTGTAGGGCCAATGACCGAACAAGCATCTCCCCCCGTCGCCTTATCGACTATACCATCTTCCGCGAGGCCTACTGGCCGCGCTTTCCCCCCAGATCCAAGGGCCACCTCCAGTCAGACATGGTCTTCACCGAGATCATGGGCGTACTCAAGGGTGGCAGTGCCCCACTGTCTAGGCAGGAGTATATCGACACTAGTGCTAGGATCGCACCGACGTTCACAACGGAGGAGGATCGCCAGGCGGTTTACACTCTTTTTGAGGGCTATGAGAAGAGGAAAAGGGCGCAGGACGAGCAGGACGGGATCGATAGGGTGCGGAGTGTAATGAGGGTTTTGGAGCGCAATCAGGTGGTGAGGGGAATTCTGCTGGGGATGTTTGAGGAGGTCTATATTGACGGTGAGCATGCATATGAGTCTGTTTGAATTTCATGCTATTCCCATCGTTGGCAGGGTATCTGCAGGATGTCAGAACTGATTTGGGCAAACCTATCTGCAGAGGTCCAAGATCAGCGCCCGCTCGAAATCTCCCTGCTCTTAACATTGGTCCAGAACCCGCGCGGAATCCACTTCGGTACGTACAGTCATTGCATTACAGTCTCTCTCTCTCTCTCTACCCCCCTATCTCCCTCTCTCTCGTTGCAAATACTCTATTAATTAACTCATGCACAGCCGGCGACAGCGCCCAATGCATCTCGCAAGATAGCACCTTCCGCTTTGCCAATCTCAAAGCCCTCTTCTTCAACCACTTTTCGGGCCATCACTCCACCACCATCGATCCCTCCGCGGCGAAAGCAACGCGGTTCACACTCTCGCACAACTTTCGCTCACATCAAGGGATACTGAGGCTTGCGTCGTGGGTGATGGATAAGCTATGGAGGGGATTCCCGGACTGCGTGGATAAGCTCCCGCCAGAGATCGGCACGCATATGGGGCCCAAGCCTGTCCTCATTAGTATGCCATTTTGCGCCTCCCCTTAACTTGTAGGGTTCATGCAGTCCAGCTAACATCGAAGCAAGTCGGACCCTCCCTGATCTCGTTCCTACAGGGTGCCGCGGGGGGCACGACCGCGGACGAGATAAGGACGCAGCAGATCATCATCGTACGTGACCGCGCAGTGCAGATAGAGCTTGAACCCCAGCTCCCAGAAGGGAGCATCGTATTCACTGTCCTGCAAAGTAAGGGGATGGAGTACGACGATGTGTTTTTGTATGAGTTTTTCAGTCGCAGCCCGTCTCTCGGGGGTTCAGGAATATGACAGAGGGGGGTGGGTGGGTGGGATATGCGTCGATGCATGCGGTATGTTGACATCCACATCCGAGGGTGGTATGATTTGGGCTTTTTTCTCTTTTTACTTTTTCTCCTTTCTTGTGGCTATAAATGGATAGCTGACGGATGGAGCGGATGGGATTCACGGATTCATAGAGTATGTGCAATGAGCTGAAGGTAGGCACTAGGGGGGGTGAATCTGGCTATGTTATATATAGTGGTAGGTAATAAGTGATGGAACGACCTGAGACATATAATGATACCTGCTTTGGGCAAAACGCCACCAACATACGGTGTTTGCAGGTACCGGTATCTCGGGTCATTCAATCACTTATTACATGTACCTACCGCTGTACATTAGGCTGGCTATGAATATATAAGGACTAACAGCACTCCAATTGCAATTATCTAGAACCTGTATGTCGCAATCACTCGCCCTCGCAGTCGACTATTCATTCTGGAGAGCGACCCCGGCTGCATTCCGGAGCTACTCACAGAGCATGTGCCGGTGCCGCTCGTGGTTGTGAAGCGTTTCAAGAATCAAGATGTACGTATATATATATATATATCTACCCCAAACCTGATCTCCTCTTCTTCTTCCATTTATTCTGTGTTCGTTCATTGGTGCGTCTCAGGCTGTCTGTAATGGGACTAATTATTAACGGTGCCCATGTGATATGTACATATAGCTACTAGATCTTTCGCACGAGGTCCGCCAGGGCAGCACCCCCTCCTCTGACCCACAAGTATCCCAAACAGGAACAACGGGCTCGGGGCGCGGCGCAATCTTCGACACGGTACGCCCCACCAACACGACCACCGTCCAGCAATGGATCGAAACCGGGGATCAGTGCATGGAGCGGGGAATCTTTGACCAGGCCCTCCGCTGCTTCAAGAATGCCAGGGACCCAGACAAAATCAAGTTGGCATCGGCCAGCTTATCGGAGCAGAGCGGGAAGGAATGTAGCGCAAAAAGAGATCTTTTGGGGATCAAAGTGCACTTCAAGGAGGCTAGTGACAGTTTCCTTGAGTTGGGGATGAAGGAGAGGGCTGCGGCGTGTCTAGAGGCGAGAGGAGACTTTATGAAGGCGGCCGGTACGTTATATATGACTATCTCTGTAAAGATCCGGTAATATGATCATGGGCTGACGTTGGTTACAGAGCTCTACAAGGGGGCGAGGCGGTACGAGAAGGCGGCAAGGCTGTTCAAAAGGGCGGGACAGTATGAGCGCGCAGCGAACGAGTACCTCAGATGCGGGAAGTCATCCATGGGACTATTGGCCCTCTACGAAGGGGAACTGTACGACAGACTCATTTTCGACTTCCACACGTACGTATGATGAGTCCCAACTTTTCGTGTGGCAGAATAAGAAGAACAAGAAGAAGAAGATAACTAACACCCACAGCCACCGCGACAAAATACCGGACAATGACCGACTTACCTATGCGCGGGAGTGCAACAGATATGTACGGCAGAAAGACAAACTCAAGCTCAATCTCAAATCCAGGGCATTAGCCATGTTCACCTCCGACGATGAGAAGGAAGCGTTTCTCAAAGAGTTCAAGTACAACAAGGAGCTCGTTGAGTTCTACGTTTGTCGCGGACGCATCAAGGAGGCACTCCTGCACGCCGTCACGAGCGGCGATTTTGATGATGCGTTGGAGGGTATGATTGAGCGCGGGAGGGACAATAGCGAGGTGGTGATGGTGGTGAAAGGGGTGGAAAAGGAGGATATGCGCCTGGAGGATGTCTTCAATTATGCTCAGACCAAGAGGATGCTCGCCAACATGTCCGGAAAAAGAAAGAGCTTGTCTCTCGACTATAATGGAAGGCATGAGGGAATTGAATGGGGTCGCAAGTGGGAGGAGTTTGTTGCCGTAGCGGGCGAGTACATAATGTCGGGGATGGAGTTGGAAAGAGGATGCATCGAAGAGGAATGGATCAGGGAGTATCTGGACACTATCGTGAGAAAATGGCCATTTTCTTTCTTTTTTATCACTGTAACTGTAACTTACCGGTAATGATAGGTTTCCGTCCATATCGAATACTTCTTGGGATTGGCCAAAGATCTGACCGCCATCCCCCATGCCTATCTCTACGGTCTTGCACAAAAGATAAATGAGATCACTATCCAAGATAATGAGATCTCTACATCTACAAAAGACGATGAGATGTCTAAATCTACAAAAGATCATGGCATTTCGCAGGCCATACTTCTTGCTCTCGGGGTACTGCATATCCCGGGTGAGGCCAAGCCTTACAAAGTGCTGGGATGGTCATGTTTAAATTCCCCCCAGCTTGGCAATAGTGACTTTGAGTACAAGGTAATGGTCAAGAAGATTGTGGAATACCTCACAAAGCGGTTACAGGATGCTAGTCCGCTGGTCGAGGAGAGAGTGAAAGCCCTGTGGGAGGGATCATCAGGGATGGAGACAAAATGTGCCGCGTGCATGGCAAGAGGTTTGCTAAATACTTTCCACTTTTTGATACCCGTTGAAGAGTTGACTGGTTTTTTGGTTTTTTAATTCATTAATGAAGAGTTGACTGGTGAGATATGTATATATAGTGGCATGGGGCGGACCGCAGGTAGAACGGCTAAGCACCAAGTGCTCTCATAATCTCGTCACGAAAGCCCAATTCGAGAAATCTATACAGGTTACTACCCCCGAAACCTGCACCAATCCCCCCCCCCCCCCTTCTCCCCCCTTCCCCCCTCCCCCCACTCAAAGGAAAGCCAAGGGTGACCGATTTATGTATACTATCGCAACTGACACAAGCAACAGGACCTCATTAGAATTCAGTCATCCTTCGCTACCATAGGTGAAGGGTATAAGTTGCTACGGGGCGTCAAAGTCCCCGAGTACCTGCCGCAGCTGAATGGTACCCACTCCCTCCGCGCGCAAACCAAGGTGCTTATAACTTTTACCCAGCCATTCTGACAATTCATGTGCACAGACTACTGGCTTGATGCTCTTCTGAAGAGGCTGACATACCACTCCGCATGCTTTGAGAGTGCCGAGTGTATTGTCAACCTGCGCAGCTGGCTGCATACACTGGAGGCCTCCACCATCGTCTGCGCGCTCCAAAGGCGCTTTCGGAAACGGTGGGTGTCGTGGAAGGCTTTGGGACGCAAGGGGACTTTACGCAACTGTTGGAAGGCTATCAGTTGGGCGTGAACTTGGGTATGTTCTTGGCTTGTTCCTGTGCTCGGTGTTAGGATCATCTAATAAGCTACTAGGCTTGAGACGGAGTGAGCTTGATGCCCTGATAAATATCCGCCGGGCCGAGATTGAGACATATCATGGCGGGGTGCAGGGCGCCGGTGGCAGTCAGCAGAGTCACAGTCAGCAAAAGAAGGAGCATCAAAGTCAGGGAGATGTCATATTCGAGGCTTTCCGACAGTATCGGACATTGCACGAGTGGAAGGACGCATCTCAATGCTCGATGGGGATATTGGTATGTGCTCAGAAATCTGTCCATTGATCTAGCAGTCATGCGTTGTACCTAATCATTTATGCCCTTTCAATTTTAGCTCAACTGGGTCGATCGCCTCCTCATGACCCTGCACGGCATGCTGCAGACTACAAAGTACTTGTCTTTCCATCACGCCTCTGTGATATCCGTCTTTGAAAGCATCCTGACTCTCCTCCTGTTCGCCTCCCAACGTACCAATATTGTCATTCCCGCGTCGTGGAGAAGCCTTCATCTTCCGCTCTGGGCACCAATACTAAGAGACTGTACCGACAACGAGATAGACTGCTATAGGCAGGCGCTGGTTCGGACGATGTATCTCTTCTACAACTGGGTAAGTAACGGCTATGGGAGTGCGCTGCAAGTTGGGTCCCTGCAGAGGCGGTGCTCGGATCTGTGTTTTGTCGTTCTTGTAAACATCGGGACAGGGACGGGGTGTCAGGGGCTATGGGAAATGGCGCCGGAGGTAGAAATCATATATCCCGCTCGGTAGTATATAGATAAAAAAAGAAATCATCTAATCAATCGTCCAGGTCCTCACAAACCAAATCCTGGGCAGATGGGAACGTCTTCGTACACAACCCCACCAGCTGATCGAACAGCTCTATGAGGCCTTCAAACTCTACAATGGGACCGACATACTTATGCTCCATGTCCCTAAGGGACCCTTGGACAAACGAGCCCTCTACTTGTCCTCCTTCGCCACCGTCCAACAATTGCCTCCGCGTTTAGAGCACTTGCCGCCCTCCTGGGATATCCTCTATAGCAAATACCTGATCGCATCCTGGTACCGCCGCCATCGCGATATTCGAGCTGAGTACAAAAAGTACACGGAGAGCGCTACCTGGCAAGCAGTAGGCTGCCTACAGGCTCTCTGTAAAAACCGTCTGCCACTGGCAGCAGTGGTGATGACGGACGGGCTGGCCCTGTACCTGCTACTGCAGGATCTCTGGCGGAGGATAGGTGAGGCGGATGAAAAAGAGAGACAACGCACGGAAAAAAAGGACTTGGTACGAAATGCGCCCCATAACAAAGAGGTGAATGTGGTGTCGGTGAAATCGGAGCAGAAGTGCGCCAAGGGGTCGATGGCAGTTGACCAGATTGCAGAAAGGGTGAAACCAGAGTCGGAGATATTGCACGCGAGGTTACAAGAGCGGAATGCGTTCTTTGACGTAGGTACGACTGTGGATGTGGCGGCGGGGAGATGGAGGGAGAGGTGTAGAGAGGAGATGGCCGCTGCCCGGGAGATAGAAGTAATGCTCAATGACTGGGTAGATAAGCTTGATGGAAAGGGAAAAAAGGGTGACGCCAAAAAGGCGGGAAAGGGCCCCAAAAAGCCAGGGGAAAAGGCAACACCCATACCCCCAGCGCGTGAAGGGAAAGGAGGAACGAAGGGGCAGTTGGCGACTCCGGAATTACCACAGGGCCAAGTTCAAAAGGACATAGGTGGAGAGGAGAGGAGCGAGGCGGCAGTGGTGGGTACTGCAGCGAGTAGGAAAACCAAGCGCAAAGCATGGAAGAAGGAGAAGAAGAAGGTGAAGGTGAAGAAGGAAAAGAAGGAGGAGAAGGAGGAGGAGGAGGAGAAGGAGAAGGGGGAGGAGGAGGAGAAGAAGAAGGAGGAGGAGGAGGAGGAGGAGGAGGAGGAGAAGGAGGAGAAGGAGGGGAAGGAGGAGGAGGAGGAGGGGAAGAAGGGGAAGAAGGGGAAGAAGGAGAAGGAGGGGAAGAAGGAGAAAAAGGAGAAGGAGAAGAAGGAGAAGAAGAAGAAAGAGGGGGAAGGGGGGGGAGAAAGAAGAAAGATAGAAAGAAGTAGGAGGAAGAAGAGTAGCGGAGGAGATGGGGGGCGATGCGCGTTCGTTCATGTATGCAACTATATGCATTTATCAAGCTACGTAATCTTGAAGGCAAATATTGTACTGTGAAGTAGGTGTGAATAGGACTAAGCACACTAAACCTGCCTGTACACGGGTAGAATGCTTCTGGCGGTGTGTAATATGCCAAAAAACTTGCGGAAGGAATATCCCGATGATGGTCGACATATATGGTGCGCACACTCTTAAAGGTGACACGGCCTCTACCAGGCATGGAAATGAATCATTTGATTCGTTTCCCACCAAGCGAATTTTGGGACGAATCAATTAATTCATTTCCCGGGGACGCTTGTGGAAAAGGCATAAAAGATTCATTTCCAAGGCCGAAAATCCCTTTTTTTGATTCATTTCCGCTTATGTACTACCTATTCTGGAGAAGGGTGCATCGTCATCCTAAAATGTCTTTTCTAATGGCTTTTCTAATGCCTTTTCTTATGCCTTTTCTTATGCCATTTCTTATGCCTTTTCTTGATGCTTTTCCTCGGGTTGCTTCGGAACCAGGAATGCCTTTTCCTATGCCTTTTTCTTACCCCCTTTCCGCTGCTGAACCGGGAACTAGAAATGTATTTTCCTAGCGTCAGTAACCCAAAGGTACAGAGCTTAATATATCAATCAACAGCGTAGGTGATAAGATGTGGACTGTCTAATCGCAATCCCACAGGTTCAAACCCGACTCTTTTTTTATTTTTATTTATTCAGTATGAACTTATATATAATTTTTGATTATGGGTAATGTGTTTATTAAAGTAACATGAGACTTAAGATTCATTTCGTGATTCATTTCCCCATAGTAAAAGGATTCATTTCCTTGGTCACTTAAACACATTTCCGATGATTCATTTCACACCAAAGTTTTACGTGAGTATAAGATTCATTTTTTGATTCATTTCAATAGTTGGTAGAGCGGCGGCATATGGAAGTGGAACAATTATGGCTGCAAGATGGACTCATGGACCTATTAGAGTGCATAACTGTCACAACTCGGTCAGGTTTGCTTTTCGGGGGTATAAATGGGTATAATACTTATCCACTTTTTTCAGTCTTGGCACATTTTATATACAAAAATACCCAATTTCAACCTCTGATAACTTTGAAACCCAGACAGATATCAAGAATTTGCAATGATAGAACTAAACCTTATTACTAGTACTATAGTTCTATCATTCCTCCTTTTTTTCCTATCATTTTTCGCTGTAAAGTTATCAGCCATTGATATTTCGTCGCGATCCGCTACCTTTAAGAGTGGACGCACCATACCTGTCAATGATTCGTTATTATGGGTTTCCGAATACGATAGTCATCAGTAGTAGTGACCGCCAAGCGACCGCGAGGTGATGGAGGTCTGGTAGCGTAAAGCCAGGGACAGAGGGTAATTAGGAGTAAATAAAATAGATTTGAGGGTAAATAAAAGAATTTGAGAGTAAAAAGGTTCGTTAGAGATCAACTAGGGTTGGGTATTGGATCACGAGCGGACACAGTTGGACCACTAGCAGACAGCGTTAGGGTCGTCAATGACAGGTAGCGGCGTGATCTTTTCGCGCCATACCGCCACCACCAACTACACTATATTCAGATCATTATCTAACATAGGATCGAGCTCGATGATATATTGCAGACTTTTTCTTATTGTGCCAACCGTGATATATAGTACGTCGTGGAAACGAGTGATGTCCCATGGTGCGGAAAGTGTCCCAGGCCAGAGGATAGATGCAGCTTTGAAATTAAAGGTGAAAAGGGGTGATAACATTATCGATACAGACAGGGTACGAATATCGTATTATCCCTACTATTATTGCCCAAAGATTGTCATATCGTACTCTACTCACCATACTACTAGATAATTCATCGATACACATCGCCATATCCGATTACATACATGTATGTATATATCATTGAGAACCTATCAAAAAGGGGGGGCTCTCCTTCCTTTTGCCGCCGCTTCTTGCAAGCGGTGGTCGGGCTAGCTTTCTACAGTGCATAGTCTCGTTCACGCGGCCATGGGGATCTCACTCCGCACGTACGGCTTTAATGAGGCACAACTACATGAAGTTTCAAGTTGGATATATATATATCCTCTATTCCCTACGTTACTACTAGTAACTACAGATAGAACACCACCCTTCCCCCCCCCAAATACCAGAACCCTACCGCACGTCCCCCCCACACCATGACTGCTGTTGCCACTTCAACCCCCGCTCCGCCTTTCGTATATATACTTCACCTTTGAGGTCGCTGGCGCAAGCTCTGCGGCGGCGGTGGCGACGGCGATCGCGACGGCCCCGTAATCCCCGCTACCCCTTTTCTCACCCTAGGGACCCTGCCGATGGGCTCGCCCGGCGGCGCTTTACTCCCCGCTCCCCCTCTCGTGGTCTTCACCCTTGGCTGCCTGGCCAAGTCCCTCGGCCTCCGCGCGCTCTTTGAGCCGGCGCGCCGCGAGGCACTGCGTTGGCTCCCATTAGGGCCGCTGCCGTTGCTGCGCGTTCTGCCTCTGCTGCCGTTGCTGGCCCTGCTGGGCGTTCTGCGGGGGCTGGCCCTGTTGGCTGTTCTGCCTCTGCTGCCATTGCTGGCCTTGCTGCGCGTGCTGCCGCGAGAGCCTGGGCGGGAAGGGCTGCGTGACCGTGCGGGGGCGGGTGCAGGGCCGGGGGTGCGGCGGAGGAGGAGAGTGCCGGGGATGACGGCGGGGGCGGCGTACGAGGCGGCGTAGGCGTCTCGGGGGGTTATGCTGACGCTATCCTGTGTCGGGGGGGCGCGGGCGGTGACGGTGGATGTGGCGGTCAAGGCTAGGAGGAGGAGGAGGGAGGAGGAGGAGCTGCATGGCTGTGTAGACGAATGTGGGGGCACTCGGACCGGCCTGAGTGCGTGTAGATGAAAGAATGTGTGTATGTGTGGTGTTTTAGTGACGCTGGATGACGGGGAGGGAAGAAGTGCTTTTATATATACGTATCAGTCGGGCCGGGCTCATGATCTTGAGTACATATATATATACATGGCGGGGTTCTGGCTATATACCGGGGCCGGATGAATGGACATTCCAGGAGGAATTATATGTAGGATACTCACCGGTGGCATCAAACTCATGTAACTCTGGCACCGGACACCACGAGGATTCAATGCAACCCATCATCATTAAGGCATGGGGAAGATTAAAACTAGCTAGCGACTGACGGTTTTTAATTCGAGAGGTCCTCTCTATCGGAGGTCTATGTGGCCGGGGGTCGCCTTTCTTTTATTATCCCGTGTGTCCGAAAAATGCGGCAAGATTAGAATTCTGAATGCTGAAGGGGGTAGATACGTGCTGCAAGCTCACCTTAATGTATTGTCTAGAGAGTACTTGTACCACACACCCCCCCCTCCCCCCTCCCCGCCGCACCGTTAAAACGCTTCTGCTCCACGCCCCCAACACACCAACACATCTTCTATTTTTGTCGCACCCCCCCAGCCCCGCCGGGTGCGACGCGGGGCTTAGCGGCACCCCGAGTGATAGCTCATGCCCCCTATAACTGGTAGTGCACATGACGCCAAGGAGCGAGTGAGCATTTGTGATTTGCGGAATGAGGAAAGACGGAGGTGGGGGTGAGGGTGGGGGCAGGGGCGGTGGGGAGAAGGTGGCACGGTGATGGGGGGACTGCGGTAGAATGAAACTCGAGCCTTTCTACCACCTCCGTGTAGTCTCACCTATAAGACCCATTTCCAGCTCCGACACCAACCTTAATCATGGGAAATCACTCGGGCGGCACCATAGATCAGCTACAGTGTCATGATACGACCACATCCATACAGACCACGACACTGCACAATGGCACACAAACTGTCTACTAACCCCTACTCCAGCAGTGTTGTCTACGACCACCACCATGCGCAACCTCCACCTTAATCACAGATCATCACTCGCCACGCCTCACCTTGATCATGGATTATCACCTGGTTCATAGACTATCACTCGCCCCATCTATCCAACACACACCCGACGAAAGACCAACCAGAGCGCCCCCCGCGTTACAGCACGCCTCCCACATGTCCGTTCACGACCCTCTCCATATGTAGGCTCACATATACGACACATTTCTAACTCCAACACCCCCCACCCCCCACCCCCAAACGACATACCCGCCCACTACTACCTCAGACACCACTGAGCGCAAAGCCCATTATAGACACCCCCGAGGTGCATTATGCGTCTCTCGGTCTTAGCGCCCTACCTGCGCCGGCTTCGCAACTCACGACTCCCCCCTCCCCCCTCCCATGAGCGACACCCCCACCGCCTACTACCTTAGGCGAGGTTGCCCGACATCTCAGGCAGACCGGCCTCCTTTCGCTGCGCAACCTCCACCTCTACTAGTCCTACCTCTCACTCCGACTTGTGAGCGACCTCCGACAGCCACTCTTACAGTGTCGTCCCTAGACCTGCACCGGCATCAGCCTGCGCAAAGTAATCATGGATTATCACTCGCCTACCCACGACTCCCCCAACCACACGGCCACAGTGGGCGGTGTCTTACGACAAATTTCGGAATACGGTCTTTCTGCTACCTTAATATACAGACACCAACATGCAACACATTTCAACCTCGACACCCACCCTAATTGTTAATCATAAGGTGTCACTCGGTACGACTACCCAGTCGACCACGCGACACCGCTCATTAGGGTCAGCGACACTACCTGTCAGCAGCCGAAAGCGCAATGCACCTTACAGACGCCCACAGGTGCATTGTGCGTTTCTCAATCGCAACGTCCCTTTGGTTGCGCAACTACACTCACGAACCCACCCGTCCCAGGTTGCGCGGCCTCGACGTCCTCAGGCCCGCCTGCTCGGCTACATCAGAAAACGACATACGCCAGGCAGGTTCCGTGACACCCAGGCACAGCGTCCTGGTGATTTTGGAGTTGTGGCGGTCAACATGGTACCCTAATAGCTTGGCCTGAACCAACTTTGACATTGATCTTTAAGTTTGTCTCTCTCCCTGGCTTGATGTATGCTTGACTGTCCGAACTAGGCATTGCCTCGCAGGAATCTGATTACTGCTGATAGGTCCCCTTACATCCTCGTTCATGCTGACTAGGGGCGTACCACCTCGCAACCGCGAGTTGTGAACGTTGGATTATGAGTATTAAATAAATATGAATATTAAAAAGCATTTGATGGAGGAAACCCGTTCCAATCACCCCCCCCCCTCCACCACCTCCCTCCACCTCCCCAGGCCCTTCCGACTCGATACCTCCCCCTCCCGCTCCACCACCCTCCGCCTGGTGGGGTACGACTTTACATTTCTGGGCCCATCACTACACTCCCGAATTGGATGAATTAAGCGCCTCACACCAGAAAAATTGTACCGTAGGGAACGTGCACATTATCAAACATTGGTTCTATACTGAGAGTAAAAGCTAAGTCCACTAAACAATAGAAAAACAAGTGCGAAAAAACGAAGTAAATCGATCTGGTATATACGTAGAGATTTCATAATAGCACGAGCGCCGCCGGCGACGAGACAATTCCTTCACTCGTTCCAAGTCCTCATATCTAACAAGTGATAGGTTCTAAAAGTGGGGCCAGTAGTCCTCCCATGGCGTGCTGTCAAAGGAGCCCCAGGGAAGGCTTCGAAGACTCAGGAAAGACTCAACCATTAGATATAACCGCCCAAAGACAACGCCCAGAGAAGCGATAATTACGGGGGGCCACACCAAGACTGGCCCAAACATGTTCCCGAGGTCATTGTGACATAGTTTAACTTTCGATAAACAAATGAGGATGAACGGTAGGAACAGGGTAAGTAGACAGAAACCAGCGTCATTGTCGGTTTTTATGTACGCTGTAAGGAGCAAGGCGTAAGCAGGGACAACAGCAATCAGTACTGAGGATATTCGCCAAAGTAGGCATTCCACGGGAGATGGAAAATGGGTATTCCAAGCAGCTGCATGACAACCGCCGTATAACAGTAGGATGAAGATAGCAGGAAAAGTCTTTGAAGGCTGTATGTAGTCTGAGTCCAGGATAGATATGGTGTCGGTAACAGAGACGTGTGGTAACAATCAGATATGAGGCAGCCAAGGTCGCCTGCCGGCCCCGAGAAATCACGCAGCTTTCATGTAAAGGTTGAAATATTCTGAGTCCATCATAACTTGAAACCTATTAGATTCGCGTTCTCCTGGTGCGTAGCCAATACGGATAGCACCGAAATCGAGCGCGTGCATGTACGGGACTACCAAGCACGTAGGATCGTTCGTAGTGGGGGCTGCTTGTCCAAGACCAGCAAACAGTACCCTGTTTGTCGTAGGTAAAGGTTGGACAGAAGGACCTGGGCCTCGTCACGTTAGCTCAGGCGGCGAACGTCTGCGGGTATGACATACAACCTTTTAGTGCTCCCTGCGTTCCGATTTCAAAACTCAGCTGAGTGGTGTCATGAAAAGCCTGTTGATTCGCAATCTCAACGGATACCTGCTCAGAGTCACTAATAGGTAGCGGAAGTGGCTCGCCCACCTCCTGCGGCTTATTGAACCAAAAGACGTACATCCCGACGGCACAGAAAACATGCATCGAGACATGAATCTCTAGAAGGGTAACGGGTAGGCCGCTGGCCTTCCGAACCATACACTGCACAAGCATCCACATCGCCTGAACACAGACTAGAATCTTCCCCAGAATTTCCGCTTTCCCCTTATCCTGAACATTAGGAAAATGCACAAAATCCTTCTTTCCAACCCAATTCGGCTCCGTCTTGGCCAGGTCAAGGTACGCTTCCTTGCTGAGAATATTTTTGAAGCCTTTCGGCGTTGTATACGCCGGTGCAAGTGAGACCCCGCCCATTGTCACAAAAAACGCACCCTCCATTCGAAGAGTATCTCCGTCGCTGCCGGGATCTACACCATAGAGCTCGCACCATTCCCGGTGAAACTTTCGGGCCTCTCGCCACTCATAGAACGCGACTGTGAGTACAACCTCTGGAGCCAACATCCCGACGATGACAAACAAAAGCCTATGTTTCGCCTTCGCCCAGGTCGAAGCATTCGGTTTGACGTTTGGATGGATGGCTGTCCAAACACATAGAGCAAGAGTCAATACCGAGCCCAGGACTATGCTAAAGGTTCCCCGCCCTTTCGGCTCCGCTTTCCAGCCGGGGTCGGCGATGGGGGTAGTGGTGGTGGTGGTGGAGCGTGGAGTAGGCGTAGCAATGGAATATACAATATGCCAAGCGAACGAGGCGAAGAAGGTTGCGGTGGGCATCTGTCCTAGTATTGATCGTATTGATGGTATTGATGATATTGATGAGAGTAGAGGTCTAGTTGCAATAGGTATGACACGCGTCTGTTGCCGGTGATATCTTGAACCCGGGCACGCACTGGCTGGCGGAATGGTGTAATCCCCTTAATTAATTAGTACGACTTTCGGTTAGTTAGGGTTGTTACAATTACTTCACAGCCTGAAGGACAACCTCAACCTGCCTGGGAAATACCATACCTTGAGAGGGTGTTCGAGATCAATGGAATGTCTATAGCCGACAAGGGAGCTTGTCCCTTGGTAGACGAGGAAGGGAATCCAGTGATGGTATATGAACCAAATACTACTTGTTTGTACCTTTAGTGGCCAGCTTTTGAAGTGTAAAAGAACCAGGTCACACTCGGTAGGTGGTGAACTCGCTTGGTGGTGGGGAACCGGAGTAACTGCTCCGGGCCAACACTGGCCATGGATCATTGCTTTTTACTCGCCAATTGCCTCTTTTAGAAGTTAAGATTTTGACTGACTAGGCCCTATGCGTGATTAGGGGCTCCGAGCGAACAAATGTGCCCAATCACTCACAATTGATCCCACCATTACGTTCGCCAGGTGGTGAACTGGCTGGGCAGGGAACAACAGTACTTCCTTTGAGTGAGATGACATGTAAACACGGAAACGCGGAAAGAGACTAAGAGGGCCTTCGAAAATCGTCCCCGAATGCTCCTGTTCTTCTTGGAGTCAGCCAGAACCTACCAGGTGCATCTTCATTTACTACTGACTTCGAGACTGTGGGAACATGAAAGAACTTAGAGCCCGGGTCGACTATCCCCGTCAAGGTTGTGCAAGGAGCTCAGGACCGTGCTCCATATCGACTCCTTACATGCAGGTATCAATGAGGCTCGTTGTAAAGGCTACTAAAAAGCGAAGCAAGATATTGGTCAGAATGTTTAGCGCGCATTAGTGACACATACTTCGATCAACTAATCGGGGATACTCGCAATTTCGTAGTTTTTTTGAACGCGACTGGGTCTGAATACCACCAAAATCAGGGTTTTATGGAGGATTTGGCTGGTATGCAGACCCAGTCGTGTTTAAAAACCCTATGAATTTGTGAGTAGTTTAGTGTATATGAGAACCTGCATCGCAAACCTTATGCAGGTATATACCTACTCTCCATCCTCTTCGGCTAGTTCCTCGCCAGGATTCTAGGAACGACCAGCCAGCTCCCGCCACCTCTCCCTCTATCTCAACGCTAGCTCAGGCGAGGTCCTAACTGCCATCCTACACCGGAGGGTAGCCCAGGGGTCCGCAAACACACCCCCACAATCCCCCGCAACACAACACTCACAACCACACCAACTCGACAGTACCCACTCGCCTCTAAACAAGCTCCGAAAGCTCCCTTTGATGGGCCACTGCGTAGACGCCGCATAGGGGGGACACTCAATCATCGTAAAGACCTCACTGCTGGCTTGCCCCCCCGCCCCCCTCCAACTTGTGCGTTTTCGCTTCTTCTCTGCTCTCAGCTCTCACAGGTTCAACCCCCACCTGTTTTCTTTACTTTTCCGTTTTAGGGGGGGTCTGTTTCTATGAATTAATAGGAGATAGGTTTTTAATGCCATAGGCTTAGACTGCACGAAGAGAGGCTTTGCCGGAACGGCTCGATCCCAGCCGGGACCATGGCTCGATTCAGGGTGTGTCAACTTGAGTGGCAATAAACCTCTTAAGTGCCTCAACTCGAGACACCGAGCTCCTTTCGAACTAAATTTCTACAAATGGGAGTCCAAGGTGACACACCTACCCCAATGTGAATTGAATCGTAGCTGACGTTTAGCCCAAGCAATTTATAATTCCGAAAACCACTCTGCATACATTAGCTCCTTGGTCTGCATAGCCTCACAATTACTCTGAGAGGGAAACGTTAGGCATTAGGATTGGTTATCTCTAGGGATATCCTTGTGTCTTGCAGCGGAAAATATTATATCAGTCACATAACCTGTAACGGCAATATTATATTTTGGCTAAGGCGATGGATTGGATCATGAAGATAAGGTATTGCGCGGTTGAACTAGGATTTGTAATTGGGTTTCTATTATGTTCTTTCAGTTTCCATTACGTGGGGTATTAGTCATCAACGGACTAGGAGTTGAATATATAAGTGGGCGTTGTCTCGTGCCTTTTCATGTTTTCCTTCCTTTCCTTTCCTCTTAACGCAACCTCCTGTATTTACGCTCGCAACACCAAAACTTTCGATCAAACAATACTTTTGGCTTGCATTCTCGATAAAACTTTTACTCGAACACGATCCTGTATGTCAATAGACCGCGTAATCTATTGGTATCTTATCGCACATCTGTTCGTACGCGAAGTTATTCACACTCTGGTTCCTGAGTTGTGAACTCTCCACCCCTCAACCCTCGCTTAAGCCTCGCGACCATAGCGAAAAACAACAAAACTGGCCTCACCAAACCCACCCAACCCCTCAAACTCCGCGGGCAGGAAGAGAACTCTATCAGAAGTCTTTCCCAACCCAGCTCGATCCGGAACATCAGTGATGTCCCAGCAAGCCTCCCTGAACTCTTGGTTCGCAGGAGCCCCCCCACCAGGAACTCCAGCCCCCCCACGCTTCCTGACACTCAATCCACCCAACAGACACAGTCCACCACGATCGAACAAACTCAACTCAGCGGTGAACCCTTTTCTATCTTCGCTGAACACACCCAATACAATGAACCCTACGCACCAAAATACGACTACATCCACCCTCGCATTGTCCCCCAAGAAACCCATGCCAGGATGGACCTCAATTACATCTAATGGGTAATCAGAAATGCCCTCGCCGTGGCGCTTGAATCCCTCAACTAGACAACCGAACAAACTATTAAGAATTTGAAAGCCACCATCGAAGTCCTATCCCTCCAAACGAATCCCTCAAGCACACCGTCGACACCCTAGCCAAACAAAAGTTCGAAATGACAAAAAATCAAGACAGAACATCTGAAAAACTCCACCGCCTACAACAACAACTCACCCATCTCTCCAGGCCCAGCGACAAAATAGTCAATGAAGGAAAAACTGCTGCCATCGCCACCGTCACCGCCTCCACCATCGCCTCCACCACCGCACCCGCCAATAACCCGAACCATGCCCAAAAAGCAAAAGGAAAAGGCAAAGAAGCACCAACCCCACCAGCACCAAAATCTTATGTATTCATTGCAGCAGGAAACGCCAACCCCGAATACACCATATTTACGAACAAGAGGAAACCCAAACCCAAAGCGGATCCCCTATTCAAACCAGAAATTACCAAAATCAACAGAGAGATCGTCATCGAAACGAACAAGGAATCAGCGGTCACCCCCTCCGATATCAGGACAAAAATCAACTCTAAAATCGAAAACCCGGACTGGCGGCTCATCGCCGCCAGGAAAACCTCAAAAAACAACATCGTATTGGAAACCAAATTCGCCACACCCGCCTCGAAAGTCTTCGAATATAAACAAGAAATCGAATCAGCCCTGAAAGAACTCAAGGTCCCCTTTGTTGACGTCAGGGTCAACTCCAAATGGTCAAATTCATCATACATGGAATCCTCACAACAATCGGAGACGGTCATGAAGCAGGACAGGTCATGGCCTCAGAAGTCAGAAGCAACTATGGAACCACATTCGAAATGACACAAATCCCCAAATGGTTTAGCAGAGCCGAGGCCAGAGTAGGGAAAACACACTTGTCAATGATCATCGCACTCCCAGGACAATACACAAAGGATAACCTCGGACTAAGATACCTTACCTTATTCGACCGGCAATGCAAAATCGACAACTACCTCCCAGCCAGCCCAGAAACCCAATGCTCTAAATGTTTGGAATACGGCCACCGACATGAAAGATGCTCCTATCAAACTGGGAGATGCGGACACTGCGCAGAGGACCAATAAACAAAGGAACACCCATGCTCTGAATACTCAGGAGGCACCAGATGCATCCATACACCCATCCGATGCTACCATTGCAAGGCCCCCCATAAAGCAACAGATGCGAACTGCCCAGAACGTACCAAAGTCCGCATCATAAACAAACTCGGACCAGACACAAACCCGAGTCCACTACCAACACCCATTGTCATCCCGGCCCAGGACCCCCCACAAGAAGATGCAGCCATGGATAACACCCAATGAGTTACATCAAAAGAACCATGGCTATCGTACAGCAACTGAACTGCGCGAAAAACGAGCTTACAACAAAGTCAGTAGTGGAGGAAGCAGAACAGGACTACAACATACTCTTTCTTTTGTTAAAAGAACCATGGAATAATAAAGACGGCCACCCACCGGAATCCCCCCTCTTCTATCTATTTACAGCCAGCAACAAGGGCACCAAAGCCACCACATATATCAGAAAGCACGCCAACCTAAAACCGAAACACCATTACACACATAACAACTTCATCGTCTCCGTCACGGTGGAAATCCAGAACCAAAAAACACAAATCCTCAACATATACTCACCAGGGCGAAGCGGACCCTCTGCAGAAATCTCCCATCAGATAACCACCATCCAAAACTGCCTCGTCATGGGAGACTTCAATAGCCACCACTGACCATGGGAAAACCATAGTACAACTACGGATAGAAAAACACCCCACATACACAGAAGACTATGGCACCGAACGAACTGGGAAAAACTGGAAGAAAACATCTCAGGCCTCCAGTTTCCCCCTGAGGCGTGGGAATGCCAGAACCATACAAAGCAATCAGTCGACTTCATACTCGAACACATAGATAATCTAATAGATGAAGTCACCCCATGGAGCCAAGAACACATCAAATCCAAGAAATGGTGGACCCCGGAGCTGAAAAGACTTAAAACAACCCTCAACACAATGGAAAGGAAAGCCAGAAACACCCAAAAAAACGAGGACAGAGAAGCATTCAGGAAAACGAGCAGGAAATGGACATCACTGATCCGCAAAGCCAAAGCAGTGCAAAGGGAGAAAGAACTCACGGA